TTCGTATAAACATATGTCGGCAAGTTATTCATTTCTGCGATAGAAATTGTCAAAGTTTGATTCTTATTCCTATTCTTCAGGAATGAATTCAAGAATAATCGTGACATGATAGTGGAATTTGGTATCTAACTCGAATATCAAGATTATTTTGGAATTTATACACAAAGAACCGAAATAACAATCCAACTTTGACACTCTGTATTTCAGAAACGAATAACTTGCGGACATATGTTTATACGAACATTTCTTCTTATTTTGACGTCAGCAACATGCTTCTGATTTTTTTACACGTACTCAAGAAACAGTGTTTTTCATCAAGGAGGAAATTGTTGGCTATGTGTTCCTTACATTTCTTGAGTAATAGAAGCATATGTCGCCTTTCAGCACCAGAATTTGAAGAGAGTTTATAAATATACCATTCAAGTCGAATGGAAAAAAAGGAAAGAGGAAACCATACCAGAAACCAGCGATCGGTGATGAGATTCCCATTTCTGTTTCGTATTATATTCGATTTATTTCGAATATTTCTTCAAGATTCATTATTTGTTATGGAAGACGATATATTATAGTAGATGGAGACACGACAGGTACCCTTACGAGGGGAGAGTATCAGCCCTTGGCGTCGGTGAACCCTCATTGAGACTGAGGTAGACGCCTGATGGGTTAGGTGTATGTATACAGTGTTATTCATTGAGGAGAAAACTGTTGGCTATCTGTTTCGTTCATTCAAGAAGGAATATGTCTCATTTCAGCACCGGAATTTGAAAACAGTTTTCGTATAAATTTCAGTTTCTTATTCCCATGTAACTTCAAAATTTCAACCCCCAATTCATTTTTAAATCGAGATTTAATGCAAACTATGTTTTAGGTTGAAGAATCAACGTGTTATGAATTGACCATTGAAGCCCAACGGAAAAATCGCACAGAACAGGAATCCAGACATAAAATCAGCAACCGGTGATAAGTTTTCCATTCCTGTGTCGTATTCAATTCATATAGAATATTTTTTCAAAATTAATTATTTGTTATGGAAGGCGATATATCATAGAAAATGTTTCAGTAGTCACCTTTATGTCTCCATGGAGACACGACAGGTACCCTTACGAGGGAGAGTATCAACCCTTGGCGTCGGTAAACCCTCATTGCAACCGAGGGTAGGCGCCTGGTGGGTTAGGTATATACAGTGTTTTTCATTAAGGAGAAAACTGTTGGCTATCTGTTTCGTTCATTCAAGAAGAATATGTCGCATTTCAGCACCGGAATTTGAAAACAGTTTTCGTATACATTTCAGTTTCTTATTCCATGTAACTTCTACAATTTCAACCCTCAATGAATTTATGATCCGAGATTTAATACCAACTATGTTTTAGATTGAAGAATCAGCGTGTTATGAATTGAACATTTAAGCCCAACGGAAAAATCGCCCGACAAGACCAAGGAACCCAGGAGACCCACTAAAATCAGCAACCAGTGATGAGTTTCCGATACCTTTTTCGTATTCAATCCATATAGAATATTTTTTCAAAATTAATTATTTGTTATGGAAGGCGATATATCATAGAAAATGTTTCAGTAGTCACCTTTATGTCTCCATGGAGACACGACAGGTACCCTTACGAGGGGAGAGTATCAACCCTTGGCGTCGGTAAACCCTCATTGCAACCGAAGTAGGCGCCTGGTGGGTTAGGTATATACAGTGTTTTTCATTAAGGAGAAAACTGTTGGCTATCTGTTTCGTTCATTCAAGAAGAATATGTCGCATTTCAGCACCGGAATTTGAAAACAGTTTTCGTATACATTTCAGTTTCTCATTCCATGTAACTTCTACAATTTCAATTCTCAATGAATTTATGATTCGAGATTTAATACCAACTATGTTTTAGATTGAAGAATCAGCGTGTTATGAATTTACCATTTAAGCCCAACGGAAAAATCGCACAGAAAATGAACCCAGACATAAAATCAGCAACCGGTGATAAGTTTCACAGTGTTTTTCATCAGGAGGAAGACTGTTGGCTATCTGTTTCGTCATTCAAGAAGAATATGTCGCATTTCAGCACCGGAATTTGAAGAGAGTTTTCGTATACATTTCAGTTTCTTATTTCATGAAACTTCTACAATTTCAACCCCCAATTTATTTATAATTCGAGATTTGATACCAGCTATGTTTTAGATTGAAGAATCAACGTGTTTTGCATCGACCATTTAAGACCAACGGAAATATCGCAAAGAAGAGGAACATAGACATAAAATCAGCAACAACTGGTGATAAGTTTCACAGTGTTTTTCATTAAGGAGAAAACTGTGGCTATCTGTTTCGTTCATTTAAGAAGAATATGTCGTATTTCATCACCGGAATTTGAAAACAGTTTTCATATACATTTCAGTTTCTTATTCCATGTAACTTCAAAAATTCAACCCTCAATATATTTATGATTCGAGATTTAATACCAACTATGTTTTAGATTAAAGAATCAACGTGTTATGAATTGACCATTTAAGCCCAACGGAAAAATCGCACAGAAGACGAACCCAGACATAAAATCAGCAACCAGTGATGAGTTTCCGATACCTGTTTCGTATTCAATCCATATAGAATATTTTTTCAAAATTAATTATTTGTTATGGAAGGCGATATATCATAGAAAACGTTTCAGTAGTCACCTTTATGTCTCCATGGAGACACGACAGGTACCCTTACGAGGGGAGAGTATCAACCCTTGGCGTCGGTAAACCCTCATTGCAACCGAGGTAGGCGCCTGGTGGGTTAGGTATATACAGTGTTTTTCATTAAGGAGAAAACTGTTGGCTATCTGTTTCGTTCATTCAAGAAGAATATGTCGCATTTCAGCACCGGAATTCGAAAACAGTTTTCATATACATTTCAGTTTCTTATTCCATGTAAATTCTACAATTTCAACCCTCAATGAATTTATGATTCGAGATTTAATACCAACTATGTTTTAGATTGAAGAATCAGCGTGTTATGAATTGACCATTCAAGCCCAACGGAAAAATCGCACAGAAAAGGAACCCAGGACATAAAATCAGTAACCGGTGATAAGTTTCGTTCATTTAAGAAGAATATGTCGCATTCCAGCACCGGAATTTGAAAACAGTTTCCGTATACATTTCAGTTTCTAATTCCATGTAACTTCTTCAATTTCAATCCCCAATTTATTTATAATTCGAAATTTTATACCAACTATTTTTTAGATTGAAGAATCAACGTGTTATGAATTGACCATTAAGACCAACGGAAAAATCGCAAAGAAGAGGAACCTAGACATAAAATCAGCAACCGGTGATAAGTTTCACAGTGTTTTTCATTAAGGAGAAAACTGTTGGCTATCTGTTTCGTTCGGAATTTGAAGAGAGTTTTCGTATACATTTCAGTTTCTCATTCCATGCAACTTCTACAATTCCAACCTCCAATTTATTTTCAATTCGAGATTTAATGCCAACTTACTATACTATACATTCCAATTTTCATTTCAATGCTGAATATATTGGTAAGTTATATTTCTATATCATGCATCATATTATTCATCCGATTTGAAAAAGAATGTCGATTCTCAATTTCGGAGGATTTCATTTTTTATTTTTCATGTTCTCCTTTTGGATGGATGTTCATCAGATCAATGTTCGACGTGGCAAATAGCCAGGAAAGTAGTTGTTTTCTGTTGAATATTCAGAATGATGTGTGCATATGCATATTTTTTTCTGAAGGAGAATGCAAATTCTCAATTTCAGAAGATTTTATATTTTATTTTCAAACTCTTATCGTGTGTGTTCAATAGATATAATTCAATTTTCGTCGTGGCATATAGCCAGGAAAGTAGTTGTTTTCTATATTGAATAAACTGAAAAAGAGTTGATATTCTCATCACATAGAGAATGCGAATTCTCAATGTATGGCTTTTATATAAATATATATCCATTTTTGTATGTTCATAATTTACCAGAGAATATTCTTTTTCAACACTTTCATACCCTATCAGGGGGTTCAAACTTGAACGATGGAAACTTGTGATTTTTATAGACCTCTAATCGCAGATTCGTGATAGAGTCTCAATTCAGAATTTCTTTCCACGCCCTGTGTGATGAATGTAAATTTATCATACACCCAAAAGCAAATAGTTAATGTATTTTCATCGAAATTATGAACACCTGCCAAATTTCAAATTAATCGGAGTTATGGAATTTTTGTTGAAATTAAAAAAATGGCTACTCCAAGATGGCGGACGAGATTTGGTCCGATTCCATTCAAAATTGGTAAGTGGGGGTTTTTGAGTAAGAGAAAAAAAAGTTATTTGTAACTAAGTCATAGTGAGCTATGAGCTACATTTGAAAAACTGAAGTTGGTGCTACTATCTCAAATTCTAGAAGAGTTGGTATAAATTTCATATTTTTTTCGAAATCACTTTGAAAAACTGCCATGAGAATGTGCAATTCCTATTTGAATATTTCATAAATAAAGAAGTTACGGAGGAGACATGAAAATGATCAAAATCTGTTTTTTGCGTATAAACCAAAAACGAATAGATTTTATCAAAATATTTTCTCACATTATAGTGGGCCTTGACAAACTCCACATTTGGTGTCATTTAACCGACTTCGTATCTCTCACCGTTAAAAAGATACCCATGGTGAGCATGGTAAGTGGGACACACTGTATAGTGATTTTTTATGAAGGTCACTGTTTATGTTTTGTATCTTTTCGTGTATGTACCTGATTAAAAATAATTTCGTTTTTTTTTGTTTTCAAATTATAAAAAAATATTGTTCATCAATTTTCTCATCGATTTTTTCAAAATTCCATATCTGGTACATTTCACGTGGTTTAAGTACAACTCAATAGTGTTTTCAGTACAATTAGTTTTTTTTTGGGCAACACTGCTCACATCTGTCTCTGCACAGTAGAGTAGGAGTAAGAGTACAGTGAGTACAGTACTGTGGTCTCTGTCCAGTCTGTCCTGTCCCCAACCCAACCCCAAGTTGTGAGGTTAAGGAACTTAAATGTTGTTGTTGGTTTTTTTTCCATTTTAATTTTTGAAATAATCTGGAATACTCTGATCTCCAACTGTGATTTGGCTTCTGGTAGGCATCTTGATTACTGAATAATTAAAAAAAAACTCGACTCGAGTTTGAAATGAGTGATATTGAGCATATTTTGTGTTGTACTGTAAACATAGAATGGTTGAATAAGCAAGGTATTATCCAAAGAAAAGTCACCCAAAAGAATGCCAATTTACGTTTGATTAGGGATGATAGGAGAGATATATTTGTCGAGATTTCTGCAGTTAAGACAGCTGCAATCAAACTGGCCCTCAAAGGTATATCAGTGCATAAAAATTTCATGAAGGAAGGTAAAGCCTCCATAAAATTTCAACCCCTCAACTGCACGATGTACTTGTCGAATGCTCCTCCTGGGCAACTTTTGGTATTTTTGAGGACAATATTCGTGAAAATGACTGGTGATCAGAATTCCAAAGCTCAAAATACCTCTCTCAGGACACAACTTTTGTCTGGCAAACCTCAACAATTTGAGGAAATATCACCAGTAACTACTTTAGAAATGAATAAGGCTATATCAAAAGTAAGCAGATCCACTGATACAACACCTAGTCCTATAGCTAACAAAAAGAGAAAAATAGATAAGAGTGATACCATGAAACCACCTGCTGCCAAAAAGCTATATTCATCATCTCCCATTCCCAATGAACAATTAGATATAGAACAGAAAGACGTTTTGGATGCTTGTTTGGCAGGCCAAAATGTGTTTTTTACAGGGAGTGCTGGAACAGGAAAAAGTTATCTTCTAAGGAGAATTATTGGAGTTCTTCCCCCAGATGTCACTACAGCTACAGCTTCTACAGGTAACATTAAAACAAAAACCTATTGCACTCTTTCCATTATTTACCCACATCAGGGATTTGGGAAAGCTTTACTTAACATGTAGTTTGCCTGTAGCATGTAGGTACAAAAGTACTAATTTCCATGATACATCACCAAAAGTGTACTTGCCCATAAAAGCAGAGCACTATTACATATTTCATTGTTAATCAGACTTTGTCCTCTGAATACAGATTTCCCCAAGGATCTATTTTGAAATCAGACTTTCTTCTTTGATTTCATTTTGATTTGATTTGATTTTCTGTGAAAAATAAAATTAAAATACAAAATGATGGCTGCTCTATGATTTTGTAGTTTTTTGTAATTGTTTGTTAACCAGTCATTTTTTCATCTTCATTTTAGCAAATATTTTTTACCTTAAAATACTTGGATCATCAAAAAATACACAATATATTCAGTATCATAATATAAACCTCACATGCTACAGAAAAATGTGGAGGATTTGAAGTAAGGTAGACCTACACCCATCTGTTTATTTGATGAAAAATATTATATTTATAAGTAACTAGCTGACCTGGCAAACGTTATTTTGCCATAAACATTATTTCTAGAAAAACATTTTTAGATAAACATTTATCAGAGAACTTCCATTATTTTATTTCCACTTCTTTTCAGTTTGTCAATCAATAAAAATGGGATTCTTCAGTTTTTCAAACTACTCTATTTATTTTCTACTTCTTTTCAGTTCGGTACTCTATACCTCTTAATTTTTTCAAACTACTCTTTATTTTCTACTCACTTCTTTTTAGTTTGGCTATCTATAAAAAGGTGTTTCATTAGTTTGAAAATATTTATTACAATAGCTGATACCCGGCATACGTGGTTTTGCTATATACAATTATTTCTAGAAAATATTTTTTTAGTTAAATATATCAACATACTTTTATTATTTTGTTTTCTAATTCTTCTCCGACCCCGAAAACACCCAGATGAAATTTTTTAATAGAATCGGATCATAATTACATAACTCAGTTGCCATATTGGATCCTCCATCTTTAATTTCCTAATTTTGATGAAGAATCATAATCTCCGATCCCAAAATCCCCCAGATACAAATTTGGAATGGAATCGGATCATAGCTACAAAACTCGTCCGCCATATTAAATCTGCCATCTTGGATTTCCAAATTTTGATGAAAGAATCATTATCTCCGACTCCGAAAACCCCTCCCCGATACCAATTTTGCATTGAATCTGATCATAATTGAAAAACTCGTCCGCCATATCGGATCCGCCATTTTGAATTTCCCCATTTTGACAAATAATTCATATCTTCGACCTTTAAAACCTCCAGATACCAATTTTGAATATAATCTGACCATAATTACAAAACTCGTCCGTCATATTGGATCCGCCATTTTTAATTTCCTAATTTTGATAAAAAAACATAATCTCTGACCTCGAAAACCCCGAGATACCAATTTTGAATGGAATCTGACCATAATTACAAAACTCGTCCGCCATATTGGATCCGCTATTTTGAATTTCCTAATTTTGATGAAGAAATCATAATCTCCGACCTCGAAAACCCCCAGATACCAATTTTGAATGGAATCTGACCATAATAACAAAACTCGTTCGCCATATTGGATCCGCCATCTTGAATTTCCAAAATTTGACGAAATAATCATAATCTCCGACCCCGAAAACACCTCGGAAAACACCCAAATACCAATTTTGAATGAAATCGGATAACAATACTCGTCCGCCATATTGGATCCGCCATCTTGAATTTTCGATTTAAAAAATATATTACGACCGATTCTCATACCTACCGAATACGCACAAAAAATTTCATACGAATCGGCTGAGCCGTTTCGGAGGAGTTCGACCAATAACACCGTGACCGGGACAGGAGAATCGAGGGGTAAATCTCCTTGGAAGTCTGGTGTACACTCCGTTGGAAGTCTTTGGAATTCTTTGGATGTTTTTGGATGTCTTTGGATGTCTTTGGAAGTCTTGGGATGTCTTTGGATGTCCTTGAAAGTCTTTAGAAGTCTTTAGAAGTCTGTGGGAGCCTTTGGAAGTCTTTGGGAGTCTTTGGAAGTCTTTGGTCATTGGAAGTCTGGTGTACACATTTTTCCTGGAGATTTACCCCTCGAGGAGAATTTTATATATTAGGCTAGCTGACCCAGCAGACGTTGTTTTGCCATAACATTATTTCTAGAAAAAATGTTTTTACATAAATATTTATCAAAGAACTTTCATTATTTTATTAATACTTCTTTTTAGTTCGGCTATCCATGAAAACGGAATTTTTAGTTTATCAAACTATTCCACTTATTCTCTAATTCTTTTTAGTTCGGCATTCTATATCTTTTCATTTTTTCACTTATTTACTACTCACTTCTTTTTAGTTTGACTATCTATAAGAACGTGTTTCATTAGTTTTTCAAACCATTTATTACAATATCTGATGCTGATACCTGGCATACGTTGTTTTGCTATATACATCTTCTTCTAGAAATTATTTTTTTACTTAAATATTCATCAACACACTTTTAGTTTTAGTTTGGATATCCATGAAATCGTGTTTCATTAGTATTTCAAACTACTATTTTTATTTTCTACTTCTATTTAGTTCGACAATCTATCTCGCTTTTTAAACTATACTATATTTTCTACTTCTATTCAGTTTGGCCCCAAGTTTCGCTATCTATAAAAGCGTGTTTTATTATAGTTTTTCAAACTACTATTTATTACAGAGACCATATTAGATCCGCCATCTTGAATTTCCCAAATTTAAAGAATAAATCATAATCTCCGACCCCGAAAACCCCCAGATACAGATTTTGAATAGAATCAGATCATAATTACAAAACTCGTCCGCCATATTGGATCCTCCATCTTTAATTTCCTAATTTTGATGAAAGAATCATAATCTCCGACCCGAAAATCACCCAAATACAAAGTTTTAATGGAATCGGGTCATAGTTACAAAATTCGTCTGCCATCGTGCGTTCCTAGGGAGGATAGGGATAGGAGGTAGGTATTGGAATTTTTCTTTAACTTCTGGAGATTATATGTTGTTGGGAATACTTCCTCAGACAATGAATTCCAGAGCCTAGCCGTTCTATGGATGAAGGAGTTTTGATAAAGTGCTCTTCGACATCTTTCGAGGTTGACAGCACATCCTCTCGTTGTTGGTATAATTCTCATCTCGTTATCAAATCACAAAATCGAGTGCAAACTTGCGCTCAGGACAGTACAATTTTTCAATCATTCCGCTCAGGATAGTGATTGGTACATGTACCATTCGATGAATTACAATGTTTCTACATGCTTCTGGGAAATATTATTGCAAAGTTATTCGCAGCAGACACACAGAAACGAGAGTAACCGTCCAAAGTTATAATTTATTGATATCAATTAGTTGACAGAAGTAAAAATCAGATAATCAACTATGACACTATATAAAAACTACATACTTGATGAATTTGATCATATACAGGAAGATAATCAAAATCTAATTTCAATAAATATATCATTTCGTTATCAGAAAACGGTCGAAATTTGCAGCCGGCTCTTGGAATATTGAGCCCGTCCACACCACACAACATACTAACAGGCACACCGACAGCTGATCTGATATTGCGGTTATGTTGGCCGGAAGCCGAGTCATTAGTGTTCATAAGATTCAATCGTATATGTACTCCTCTTATTCAACAAATCCGTTGTTGATCCGGCCTGGTTACCGGCGTAGAGATAAAAGGGCCTGATGATTTTAACACAAACTCAATAAATTCCACAATGAATATTGGATTTTCATCTAGATCAGGTAATTTTAGAAACATTTTAGACTTCTACAAACATTTGCCTGACTTCCAGACCACGTGATCGCCATCTGATCACTACCACGGTCAGAAGTCGAATCCGTTTACCAGTTTTACTTTTGTCGATTTTTGATCTCCAGTTATTCGTTAGCCCATGTCTATACAGTCTATAGTTATAATGTTAGTTAGGTCATGTTAGGTGATCGTCGCTATTTTTCATGATATAAACATCAACAACGACGCTAAGGTGTCTTCTTTTTCTATTTTTTTCATTCATTAGCTATTCGCTAGCTATATTCTTCACCATCAGCTAAATTCAGACTATGAATTGAAAATTGCTTCAATGTGAAAATAAAAACGACTTGGACTTTATCGATCGCCAATATGTACAGGGTCATTCCGTATATTTAAACAGCTTCTACAGGGTTCATCATTGAAGATAGAGAAAATCTTCGGATGCAAAAGTTGTAGGGTTTGTTGAACCTTCAGAAAATTATACCAGATGAAACAAATGAATATCGCTGATATAGGTTCCAAAAATATATTGGTATAAAAAAAACACATTTTCATAACTGAAGGAGATGCAATTTCACAGATGTTCGATGTGACCACCGTTGTTTTGTATACATTTTCTGTAGTCTTTATCCAATTCATTTATCGAATTCTGAACGAACCCTACAACTTTTGCATTCGAAGTTTTTCTCTATCTCCAATGATAAACCCTGTAGAAGCTGTTTAAATATACGGAATGACCCTGTACAGCGTGGACATGAAACTGAGCAGTCCCGAACTTATTTTTTGAAAATTCATCTGAAGGAAACATCTCCATTTAGTTTGAAATGTTTAAAGGAGTGGCCGCCTGTCACATCGGCGGAGTGACTCTGCACCAATTCGCCGCCATCGGAGACGGAGAGGCCACCTTGGAGAGAAGCGTCCAGCTGGCGTCGAAGCCCACCTCGATCGGCATATGGCGCAAGTGCAAGCACCTCATCATCGACGAGATATCCATGGTCGACGGCAACTATTTCGAGAAGATCGAACAGGTTAGGTTATATTCCCCAATAAACCTAGCAGAACCACTTCAACATTTCAGATTTGCAATAGTGCTATAATTTGTTACTAATTTATAACTAATTTATTACTAATTTATTACTAATTTATTACTAATTTATTACTTATTTATTACTAATTTATTACTGATTTATTACTGATTTATTACCAATTTATTACTAACTCAGTAATCAGTAATCTCCAAAGTGATGGAGAAAGCCATCAATATTGAGCTCATCAAATATCTGGAGAGCTCGGGAATCATCAATGATAGACAATACGGCTTTCGCCACCGAAGATCTACTGGAGATCTACTAGCCTACGTCACCCATTTATGGCAAGCTTCATTAGAAAAACACGGGGAATCTCTAGCTGTCGCGTTGGACATATCGAAAGTATTCGACCGTGTTTGGCACGAAGGACTCCTCCACAAACTATTATCATACGGCTTACCACCTCAGCTATGCCATCTCTTATCGAGTTTTCTTTCAGGCAGATCGCTTCATGTGGTGGTGGACGGTGTATCGTCTGATACAATTGGCATCAATTCCGGCGTTCCACAAGGATCAATTGTGGCACCAACATTATTCCTTCTTCATATCAATAATCTGTTGGGAGTAACAACTTGCCCCATCCACAGCTTTGCAGATGATAGTACCCTCCATACTGCGTTCTCTTCCAGAATTCCCATTTCTTCCCAGGAAACTTAGTACTCACGGTGCAGGCAGGTCAATGCAGTCCATGAAGATCTTGCTGAAATCACAGCCTGGGGAACCAACAACCTAGTTGAATTCAACGCCACCAAAACTCAAGCATGTATTTTCGCTAGAAAGGCGGAACTCTGTATGCCCGACATTGTAATGTCTGGCATCACCATCCCCACCAAGCCCACCATATCTATGCTCGGTATTTCCATCAGCAACACTCGTTCATGGGATAATCATGTCAGATCCATAGCAAAAGCTGCTTCACAAAAACTCGGATTCTTGTTCCGTGCGAAATGCTACTTTACACCTCAACAGCTCCTCATGATCTACAAAGCGCAGATACGGCCTATTCTAGAATACTGTTCCCACATATGGGGTTCAGCACCAAAACATACGCTGATGCTCTTAGATTCCATCCAGAGAAGAACCATTCGCCTGGTGGGTGACGCCACACTCACTCACTCTTTGACATCATTGGAACACCGTAGAAAGGTCGTCGACCTTTCACTTTTCTATCGATACTTCCACGGGACATGTTCTTCGGAAATCTTTGCTATCATCCCTTCACTAGACAAGCCCAGTCAGCACATCCTTACCTCGAAAGATGTCGAACAGCACTTTATCAAAAGTCCTTCATCCATAGAACGGCTGGGCTCTGGAATTCATTGCCTGAGGAAGTATTCCCAACAACATAATATAATCTCCAGAAGTGCAAAAAACATTCCAATACCTACCTCCTATCAATATCCTCTCTAGGAACGCACGATGTTCTTTGAACATTATAGGGATTCCCTCTCGTGCGCTCCAAGCGATAAAAAAAAACTCAGATCTCGCAAACGTTGTTTTGCTATATACATTATTTCTATAATATATTTTTTCAGTTCAATATTCATCAAGACACTATTATTGTTTTATTTTCTAATTCTTTTTAGTTTCACTATCTATAAAAGCGTGTTTCTTTACTTTTTCAAACTACCATTTATTTTGAATTTCCCAATTTTGACGAAAGAATCATGATATCCGACTCCTAAAACCCCTGAATGAAAATTTTGAATAGAATCGGAACATAGTTACAAAACTCGTCCGCGATATTGGATCTACCATCTTGAATTCCCTAATTTTGATAAAGGAATCATAACTTTTGATCCCGAAAACGCTCACTTACTAATTTTGAATAGAATCGGTATATAAGTACAAAACTCGTCCTGTATATTGGTTCCACCGTCTTGAATTTCCAAATCCCAGATTCGAGGGATCATTCTTGGCCTTGTCTGGCAAAACATATGATTTGCTTCAAAATCGTTTGTGGTTATGTTTGATTGACACTGCTTGTCTAGTGTCCGTACAAAAAACGTCAAAACAGCAGTGTCAAGTACATTTAGGAACTCTACTTAAAAGTACCAAGTGATGCAGTCTTGTATTCTATCTAATGCGTGTTATATAATAAGATATGATCATTCATCTGAGGGAAACTTCCCCATTCACAGAGCAGCTGTGTACAAATATTTCAAAATACTTATTTTTACTCCGTAAACTGAAGACTATCATTAGTTTGCAGGTTCTATTATCAGCTTATTATGCTTTCTTCCATTCACGAATCTCATATGGTATATTACTGTGGGGAAATAGCGTGAAAGCTAACGAAGTTTTCTTGTTACAAAAAAAAGCAGTGAGGATAATCTGTGGGTCAGGGTTTACCGATTCCTGTAGACCACTTTTCCTGGAACTCAGTATCATGACTTTACCATCCATATATATCTATCAATCTATTTTAGAAATACATAAAAACAAGAATAATCATGAAAAGAATGCTGATTTCCATACCTACAACACTAGAGGCTCTCAATTGATAAGTCCATCTAAATTCAGATTACAAAAATCAAGTAGAAACTCTCTCAATGTGAATCTTTACAATATACTACCCACTTACGTCAAAGCTCTGAGTGTCAAAAGTTTCAAAAAACACATGCACTCATATTTGACCTCCAATGTATTTTATACTACTGGAGAATATATAGCGGCCCTAACATCCACAACAAAATAAATAACCATGGGGTATATTATTTCTGGTGCATTATCTTTTATAAATTACTTTTTACACTACATTTCACTCAGTTTTTATCATTGATTATACATCATATTGTTCTCGTATGTTTGTATGCACACTTTTTTTTTTTAGTTTTTAATTTTTAACTTTTAACTTCATCTGTAAATCTCTAGTCTTAGCCACTAGTTTTTGTAATATTCTTAACTTATGTATATGTGACGTATCTTATTTGTATTCTTATGAATGCACCTAAAAGACAAATAAAATATATATCTATCTATCTATCATTCATGTCGGAAATCAATGCAGGTGGCTAGACGAGTGCGAAACAGCGACAAGCCCTTCGGCGGTATCCAGCTGATCCTCTGCGGAGATTTCTTCCAGCTGCCGCCCATCGTGAAGCCCAAGCCGGGCGAGAAGAAGACGCCCGCTCCGAGGTTCTGCTTCCAGACGCGCGCTTGGGACCAGTGCCGGTTCAGCACCTTCGAGCTGAAGCGGGTGCACAGACAGAGCGATGATAGTTTCATCGCTATACTCAACAAAATCAGGATAGGTAAGTGGGAGATTGAAGTAAAGTTGGCTTTACTGTTTCCGGAATGTCATTCGTGGTCAAGTCACTGAATAGCAAAATATCTGAAGGGTATTTCCCATGCAGTAATGAATTTGCGCCTTCGAAGTGCCCACCTGATGTTAGGTTTAGATATTGATATTGTCACGAGTAGAACATACGGTATATCAGTAATTTCGAACCATGAGGGTTTTATAAACATAAAGTAAATCAAATCATCCGTTGACATTGAATTATAAAAACTGACCAAGGAACTCTCATGAGAAACGTGCATTTCTAATAAAATAATGTATATAAATATTGGATGTGAGGGTTCCGAAGTTAGTCTGGTCTGGGGCTACTCTTGACTTGACAAGAACTCGTCGTAATGGTCTTTATAATGTAAGTTGTTATTAGGTCTTTATATTCATTGTTGTTTATTCATATTTGTCATTGCTACCCATAATGTTTCATGCTTCATTAAATATTGTTATGTTTGAATGTAATCTCGTACCTTCAGCTACCCCTAAACTATTAGTGCCTATTTGAATATTACCTCTCGCAAAATATTAAGCCAAGCATTACCCCTTATAAATCGATAAGGATGGAAACAACCACTATATCGTGACAATATTTTAATTTCATCATCTCTCGAAGTGCGTCCCACATATTCCGAAACACCTTGTATATGTATGAAATGCTACAAGGAACTGAAACACCCCGCCCCGTATACTCTTCTAGGACTAGCGGACGATGTAGTTACGAAAACCTTGGAAATGACGGCCAAACAAAAGATCGAACGTGACGGCATCCTGGCCACGAGGCTTTGTTCTCACACCAAAGACGCCGACATCATAAACGAGTCGAAGCTGAGGGCCCTGCCGGGGGAGAGCAGGATTTTCGAGTGTCAGGACTTGGTGCCGGGTTCCAGTAGACAGCTGGACTACCAGACGCCGGTGCCTAATCGACTGGAACTTCGCATAGGAGCTCAAGGTTTGAATCTGATAATTTTATTAGTGTGAAAATGTCGTAATGTAAACCTTAATTGCACCAGTGGAGCTTCATAATAGATCCTCATCACAAAGCAGCTATTTCCCAAATAGACGGATTTACTGATGTTACAGATGAACTTGTCATTTTCTCCGACTGCTATGGAATTTCTAAAATTCAATTCATTTGATGTTGAAGTTGAAATGACCTTTTTACTGCGCAACTTTTTTCTCATTCAATGAAATTTGTATCTCCTAACGTTTCCGAGATCCCAACCTTATCTTCATAATAATAATAATAATAATAATAATAATAATAATAATAATAATAATAATAATAGGGGCTTTATTTTTAATATCCTCGGCGAAGTCCAGCGAAGCTGTCTACTTAACCCTGTACCATATTACATTAGAATTAAATAACTACCTACATAGTAGCTTAAATATAAAACTAACTTATCTACTAAATACAAGTATAACAGTATTTTCTATTCTAAAATACGGTTTATAAGCGAAAGAAAAATAATTTTGTTGACCTTTTGAAGTGAAACATTGATTTATTATTGAGCTCTTGTAGGAGAGAATTGTATATTTTAACTGCATTATAGGAGAAGCATCTCTCATATAAAGCTGTTCTATGCATAGGCATCACGAGAAGACCTGTACTCCGTATATTTTGACCCCTACCTACAGGTGGAAAAAAACTAACAAATAGTTTGGACACAAAAGAGTCCTAAAGTTGAAAATTCTCGATTTTGAATACCTTATATCTCTGTAATCATTCCTAGACCCCAAGTGTGATGCATTGATGAAATCAGTTCTTCAGGGAGAATATAATAATACAATGAAATACAGGGGGTTCCATTTGAAATATCAAAGTTGCTACTACTTTCTGGTATAAGCGACAACGCTGCATTGCTGAAAACATTTTAGATGGCACTGGGACGAAATAGCGCAGGACAAAATAGCGCAGGACGAAATAGCGCGGACAAAATAGCGCAGGGACATAATAGGGCAGGGTCATAATATCGCAGGGACATAATAGCGCAGAGACAAAATAGCGCAGAGACAAAATAGCGCAGAGACGAAATAGCGCAGAGACAAATTTGAGCGCGAAAACGTAGTGCATCATCTATGATTACGATAATTCGTTTGTCAGGGCATAGACTATTTCTTCAAATACTAGATGTTTCAAAAGGAGACTACCCTTACAAACGAAGTAACTTAATACTAGGTATGCCATTGGATTGTTGAAGTAGACCTATGATTAGGTTAGTTTGTTTGCTAGGGTATAGACTCATTTTGAAACACCTTGTATTTGAAGAATGAGTCTTTACTCTAACAAACGAACAAACCTAATCATAGATCCTGCACTCCATTTTCGCGCGCAATTTTGTTCCTGCGCTATTTTGACTCTGCGCTATTTCGTCTCTGCGCTATTATGACCCTGCGCTATTTCGTCTCTGCGCTATTTCGTCCCTGCGCTATTTTGTCCTGCGCTCTTTTGTCCGCGCTATTTTGTCCTGCGCTATTTCGTCCCAGTGCCATTTTAGATCGATAGACTACGTTCCCCGTAAACGTCTACCGTGTATCCATATGTCAGATGTGATTTTTTTTGTTTTAATAACTTCAATCGTCCTTCTTTCCTCAATGTTACATTCATATAATTATTATTACTTCCTCATTTTAAGATTCCTTCCACAGGATAACATATGTGTGAAACAGATGTGTTTTTACTCATCGCTCAAAATAGTCAAAATTTCTGATTTCTCAGTTGACAAACCTCCTCTGTAGGTGTGATTTTTGAAGAGATGGCAAATACAAAGAGCCAAAATTGTACAAAAAGTTGTATTTCATGCAAAATAAATTTTATTTAATTTTTCGTTGTAGAGCGCTTTCGGCTAACAGTCATCATGAGTGCATACTAGTCAGGTTGACGAGAGCCATCCACAAAAATATATTTGGTCCAGTTGAGTAATATTAACATTATGGCTGTTTGAGAAAATATAAAATGTAATCTGCATATTCCATTTTGGGAAACAAAATTTAATCTGTCAACAAAAAATTGCAGCATATAATATGATGCACAGGCTAATAAATGTCCCTCTTTCGGAAGTATATTTCAATAAAGAACTCAATATCATAAAACAGATTGCAGTCAACAACGGATAAAACGTTAATTTGATAGACAGTATTCTTTCGAAAAAACTTCATAATAAAGCTATTCAGAAGTTTATCCTACCATCAAGAATAATCAAAATTATAGAACTTCAACCTATTTCAGATCATCAACTGAAGAATTAGCTTCATTTCTACATGAACAGGACTTGAAAGTAGCATATAGAACAAATAACACGTTGGGAAGGTTTATCAAAAATAATAAAGACAAAACTTCTAAATTCGAAAAATCAGGGGTATACAAACTCAACTTTGGATCTTGTCCTAAGGTATATATCGGTCAGACAAGTCGTACGATTAATCAGCGCATTCATGAACATAAAATGAATTTTTTGAGAAAGAAAACAAATTCAACATACACCAACCATATATTAGAAGAAAACCATCATTTTGAATCATTTTAAATCAACAAACTAAATAATTCTGACATTTTACTTAACTATAAATTCGACCTCAATAGTTCACCACTGTTGAATTTGTTTTGTTAGTAGGTAATAATATGTATTTGCTATCAACCCTTTCAAGTTAATCCGGTACATCGTATTTCAATGGAGATATTGTGCCATAGGAAACTATGTTCCTAGCATTGAAGGTAGGTACATTTTTGTCCTAGACCTTGAAGTGAAACTTTCTTGCATACTTCCATCATTGTAAATAATCATTCCGAAGGTCGTTGAGTTGCATAAAAACTGATTTATTGCAGTCATGTTACTAAAAAATATCAAAGTGTCTGCGGGGTTGGTCAACGGCGCCAGAGGGGTCGTCAAAGCGTTCGAAGAAGGCCTGCCTGTCGTCAAGTTCCGCTCGAAAGAATACGTCGCCAAACACGAACGCTGGATCGTCAAGACTGCAGGTGGCGCTTCGCTGACTCGTAAACAGGTGATTAATGGATAGATAATACTACATTGTTTTATTAGGATCAAAAGTGAAACGTTTGACAACCGAATTTTGCATTTTTCGAGGCGGAACGTCTAGCGAAGCCGAGCGAATGCAAAATTTACGAGTCAAACGTCACTTGTTCCGAATGAAAGATGCTATTTTTTCTGCAACCGACAGAATTAACTCAAATAAATATGTGTAGTAACCACCAATGCCGTGACGCGATTTTACTAAATATACTGTACGCTAGCACAAACCACGCCCACCATAATATCTCATCTTCGAGGTACTTAGGCAAAACTCAGAGACTATTTATCCTTAACGAACTAACCTATCCCTGATTGCAATATTTTTGAGGAAGGAAAACCGAATGGAGTGTAGAAACACATTGATTAATAATATATTTCAAAAGTTGAGTTCTTCAACAAAATTGAATAAAATGAGACTGTTTATCCTAAACGCACTAACCTATTTGACTTCAAATATTTTATGAAAAAGGAAAACCAGAATGGAGTAAAAAAACATTGGTGAAAAAAAAAGTTGCAAAAAAAGTTCAAGTTCACAGCGATTCGAACCGTGGACCTTCAGACTGAAAGTCGACAGCGCTAACCAGTAGACCATTTGGGTATATGAATTTACTGCGTACAAGAGATTGACAACGAGAGAGCTTCAGTCGAATTCGTGTCAAAATCATAAAAAGTGTATTCTTGCGTTGGAGCACAGTATATTTAGTGCGATGTGCTGACTCCGATTAGCCACAAATCATATGGGAACATTTTGAGACAATTGAATTTTTATTACTAATGGGTTGCGTGCAAGAACTGTCAGATGACCGACCCTGGAGGTGAAACATTGAAACACAACCTCACTTTTCTTATTTGTTCACAAATGATTGAAATAGTTTTTCACAATTATTTTGGCATACGAATCGTGTTTTTTGCGCTATTCATTAATTCAAGCATGCTTTCTCATTGGGCTGTTGTACAATACACAAAAAATGAAGCGAGGTAAGCGGTTTTTTTACAAATTATAAAGGAACTGACGTCTATGAACTCCGCTGACCTGATCGAAACTACAATAATAATAATATTTATTAGCAGGTACAAGTTACAAGGTTTCTGAGATAATACTAATGTTATTTATGCTATAGTTATACAGTTGAAGTTTCAAGTTGTCACAGACAACTAGGGCTATTCTTACATCTATTAATTAAACATCATCATAACAGACTAAGCATTTCATTATTGCTAATATTTTTAGGTGCACAATGGTATTTGTAATATTGTGCGTGCACCCATTTTTCGGTTTTACAGTTATTTTCGAGGTCATAAGTAGGTAATTGTGTCACATTCTGCTGGTAAATAAAACTATTTCGCTGTTGATTTGTAGTTTGAATCCGTTGTGTACATATTATATAACATAATTAATTTTATATTCACTATCTACAATCCATTCTGTTAAGGTCTTTTTAATTCTGTGGTAATCCTTTAGCTTAAGGCTGTCCGGTAGATCATTGTAAATTTTTGGGCCCACGCAGTAAATGTGATTTTGACAAACTTTGTGCTTGGGGTTTTGTAGCTCAACTTTACCTCTAGCGGCATTTCTTGTATTTTGGCAATGTTTTATGTTTACTTTGTAGTCGTTGTTATTTATCATGAATCTTATGACTGATTTCAAATGGAGTTGTTCAGTGTTTAGTAATTTACTTTCTTTGAACACACTATCGCTAGGATATCTTTTGTTTTTGAAAAGCATAATTTTTATAATCCATTTTTGGGATACTTGTAATTTTGCTAAGGCTGTTGGACCTGCGTTTCCCCAAACCACCAATCCATAGTTCAATAATGACTCTGCTAAAGCGAAATAAATTGATTTTAGAGTTTTGAGAGGTACTATGTTTCTCAGTTCATAGAATTTATGAATTAGTTTCCTAATTTTTGTAGATACATACTCATGTTCTTTCCAAGTGAGCTTTTCATCCAAGACAACTCCAAGATATTTCAAACTGGTTTTTCTTTTTATAGTCATATCACATTTACATTGTTGTCCCAGGTTGCATTTTGAATCATGGATTTTTATGTATTCAAAGTTTGGTAATGTACGTGGGGATAGTGTAAACGACATAAAGTTTGTTTTTTCAACATTCAGGGAAAGTAAGCTTGCATCTAACCAGTTTTTTATTTCTTGCAAAGTTTTTTCTGCTTTTAGTTTGGTAGTTTCCCAGTCATTTCCACTCATTAGGATACTAGTATCATCTGCAAAGCAGTAGATACTGATATTTTCATCATCAATCAGATTCATTATGTCATTTATGTAAATATTGAACAAGATGGTTGAGACAACTGTACCCTGTGGTACACCAAAGTTTACTTCTAATGAATCACTTTCTTGCTCCGACACCAATGTGGTTTGGATGCGATTTGTTAGGTATGACCTGATGAGTTCATTTGGGATTCCCCTGATTCCAGCATTTTCTAGACGTTCTAGTAACTGTACTGAATGTTTTAATTTTGAAGAGTTAGTCCAGTCATTGTCGTTCTAGATGACAACCTAGTTAGGTAGTTAGTAGGCAGGAGCTATATATTATACCTCCTCGCACTAGGTCGCCTACTAGGTTTTCATTTAGATCGACAATGGTCCAGTGGACAACAGTATTAGCTTGAATCGAACAAGACTCTCACTATCTTTTTCCACTCAAGGTGCCGCTGAAGCTCGCGTGGGCCTTCTCCATCCACAAGTCGCAGGGGCTGACGTTGGACTGCGTGGAGATGTCGCTGGGCAGGGTGTTCGAGGCAGGGCAGGCGTACGTCGCCCTCAGCAGGGCGCAGAGCCTCCAGTCACTGCGCGTGCTCGACTTCAAGGCCAGCCAGGTGGGTAGGGGGCACGAATTCGTTTTGAGGATTGTAGAGTCACTGGATGGTATTAGTTATAGCGTATTCGACTTTTGTCGTGCGTTTGTGATCGACTGGTATGCACTCAGACAGTACCAATATTATTCCTATTCGGCTGAACAGGCACTACTCAAGGGTAGAGCTGAATTTATGTTCGAGGAAGCTAGCGCTTTGGGATAATTTTCAAAAAAACCATCTCTCCGAATTTTATTTTGATTCCAACTGGCGGGATATTCGTCACGAAAATTTCGAGTCTGAAGTATTCTAAAAAAGAATCAATCAGAGGAAGATTTCCACTTCCAGGCTCAGTTTCGATCATACCTTTGAAGTGGTTATAAAAAGCCGCCCTAGGTACGGTTCCGCTGAGCCTCAGCTGGACAGAGGTTCCCTTGTTTGGTACACTGATGGTTCGAAAATGGAAGAAGGGGTAGGCGCGGGTGTATATGGACCCGGATGTAGGCTATTTGAAGCCTTAGGTCACTCCCCCACTATCTTCCAAGCTGAAATACATGTCATCAACCTTTGCGCCCAAAGGTGCCTGAGCAAAGGTCTGAGTGGTGCCAACATATATATCTGCTCAGACAGCCAAGCCGCACTAAAAGCCCTAAAATCATTCGTTTTCACATCAAAGATTACATGGGACTGCTTTGAAACACTCATGCAACTGGGAAAGGGCAACAAAGTCACACTTATGTGGGTTCCAGGGCATGAAGGAATCAAAGGAAATGAGGCAGCTGATCGCCTTGCAAAAAAAGGTGCAGCATCTGCACTTTTTGGTCCTGAGCCTTTTTGTGGGATAAGCAAATGTCACCTAGAGGGAGCAACTCCAGGTCAACGACAAGCGAAAAGGTTCATCAACCATTCGCAGAACCGAGCCAAAGAGCTACTCAGCCTCAGCAAACCAGAGCTAAAGCTTATCACAGGCTTTCTCACAGGACACGGCTCTCTGAGGTACCACCTCAAAAAGATGGGTCTGGCGGAGACTGACACTTGCCGCTTTTGTAACAATGCGACCGAAACCGCGGAACACATACTTTGCTCATGTGAAGTATTAGTCCGCCAAAGGCTGAACCACCTAGAACAGGTCTATCTCACCCCTTCTGAAGTGGAAAAGTCAACCGTCAGGAAAATCGTAGGCTTCATCAGAAGTCTAGGGTTAGAGGACCAAAACTAGATAGGGGTAATCACAATAGATCTTCTAGGTCGCAGTGATCGAGAGGTCTCTCAGCCTATACGACCCATCTACAATCTACAAGATTTCCACTTGAAAAATCAGGTTCTAATCAAAGCAACATTTCAGAGTGCATGCACCTGATATGCTTAATTTAACAGGTATACAATTTCTCTGTCACATAAATCATCTCCAATTTTTATGAGAGATCAATTGAATACTGTCTGTAGGTTAATCGAGGTGGTACATTCATTATTCCAGATTTTTTGGGATTTTCTCTCGTCTATAAATCAGATGATTTGCCCCAAAATGTCACTGCTTTTAAAGAATTTTCCTATCAGAGAGCCTGAAAGAAAAATGCACTAGCTTGTCAGTGACAATTTGTATTGAAAAAGGTTTGAAGAAGAGAAATAAAGGTATATAGAAAAAATATCAAATTTTTACTAATCTTTGGACGTTCCGCTAACGAATCTGCTCCCGTTTTCAACATAAAAAATGGATTTTTTGTATTGCAAATTCGAATTTTATTTTTTATGGTGAATTTATCATTCACGACCGGATCATATCCAAGAGGACTAAAAAGAGGAAAAGTGATTCCTGTTTACAAAAAAAATAATCGGCAAATCTTGGAAAATTATAGACCAGTAATGATACCATTCAGTTTTCAAAAAGTATTCGAATATTCTTTTCTAGACCGTCTTACGGACTTTATCAAAAAATTTAAAATTTTAAGTGTTAGTTTCCTTTTATAATACGCTGGTGGAATATATTGGAGGTGGTGAATGTCCTGCCACGGTTTTTTGTGACCTAAGCGGCATTCGATTGCGTGAATCACGGAAGATTATTGTCAAAATTGGAAACATTTGGTATTAGAGGAGTAGCAAATACGTGGATATCATCCTTCATACAAAATCGTACGCAGTATGTTAGCATTACCCAAAACATCAAGAGCAGGTCTCAGATCTTTGATTCACAGTTGAGAACTATTGAGAGAGGTGTCCCCCAAGGTTCAATATTGGGCCCTATACTATTCACACTTTATGTGACTGACATTGATCAAAGTATTCTCTCAGGCAAATATATTGCCTATGCAGATGATTTCTCCTTGACAATATCAGCTCCTACAACATTAGAAATAGAAAAGACAGGCACTGAAGTTATGGAAAATATCACTAGCTATTTCAATGAAAATGACCTTTACTTAAATGTAGATAAAACACTGTTATATAGATTCCACAATAGGCAAAATACATGTAATACAATAGCGATCAATGTGAATGGTAGGCCTTTATCTAGCTCTAATGGGACAATGAAATTCCTTGGTCTTTATATTGAGGAGCACCTTGACTGGAAAGCACAATGTGGACATATTATCTCCAAGCTTCACTCAATGAACTATTTATTCAGGAACTTGCGAAATATTTTAAGTAAAATACAGTTAATAAATCTTTACTATGCATACGTTGACTCTCAAATCAGATACGGCATATTATTGTGGGGTATGTCGACAAGGATTTCTGAAGTGTTCATAGCACAAAAAAAGATTATTCGTTGCATAGCACGAGTGTCGTACACTCACTCATGCAAACAATTGTTTCCAAACTTTGGAATATTGACAATGCCATGTGTTTACATATATGAAGCATGTTTGTATGTTTTTCGTAACAAAAAGGAATTTACTCTCAATGATGATGTGCATAATTATCATACTAGGCACAAGAAAGATATACATTTTCAATCAGTCCGGTTAAAGTTGAGCAATCAATCTCCAAATTACATGGGCCCTAGATTGTTCAATAATCTACCACCTCATATAAAAATTATTGACAGTTTATATGTATTCAAAAAATCATTGAAACAGTTTCTTATAGAAAAGTGTTACTACTCAGTCAGTGAATATCTCAATGAATGCTGGTAACCATACAATTTTGAGTGTTAATCGAAGTGTTTTTAACGATTTAAATTCTAGTACTGTAAGAACTTTTCAATATAATTCTATAAATGTTTTCTTAGAAACAAAGAATTTCTCATAGGGAAGTGTGATTACTATTAGTACCTGCATATCTCAGTGAATGTGAATGTGTAACTGTTGAATTTTAACTTTTAATTGTAGTGTTTGTAACCGTTGTAATTTTAGTTCTGTGACAACTTTCAATGCAATTGTATAATTGTCAAATTAGAAAGAATAAAGAATTTGAATTTGTCCTGACACTTTTCAGTTCTCAGTGACAATTGGTGACGTTGGAAAAGACCAAAAGAGAAAAATCAAGGAATCTGCTTGCATTCTTCTGAACGGAGACAATAGCATTGCTTCCTGTTCAGTTGATATAGATAGAACATGGTATTCACTACTGAAATCTGAAAATGGTGAATTCAAGATTAATTAATGGAAACATCCTGTAACTCATTTGATTGCCAAGCTTTTTCCATATAATTTCTTGTGATTAAACATTTTCTTATGCTTCTCACAGTAGCACGGATTTTTTTCAGCTGGTTGGGGAATGAAAAATCATTAAAGAATAGGAATACTATATTGAGTAAAGTTGTCTTCCTATTCAGAATCAAATGGTAGTCTATTTATTACAAAATGTCATTTGAAACCCCCTATAGCAGAAAAACTGTCCATTTTTTAGGATTGTCACCCGATGATTTTCTGATCAGAATCATGTGGACTACATCATATCAAAAATTCAGCGAAATCCACCGAATTTTTTTTCATTTGCACCCTCCCCATTTGGTAGGGGGGTCAATAATGCAATAATGCGGTTTCCATAATTATCCGTGATGAAACATTTCCTATCACTTTTGACAGTTAGATGGAATTCTTTTTTTTTTCGGTTTCCAAAATAGGGGTTGGGGGTAATAATCCCCCCCCCCCAATATAGTTTTTATGAAGAATCTATTTTTAAACCTCCCTGGCAAAAAAACTGTCCATTTTTGGGGGTTAGCTCAATGAAAATATTTTATAGGAGCACATGAACTACATCATAGCAAAAATTGAGGAGAATCCTCCGGGACGCGATTTTACTAAATATACTGCACGCTAGCACAAACCACGCCCACCATAATACGTCATATCTCCAAACATTACCGATATACTCGGAGTCAGCACATCGCACTAAATATACTGTGCTCCAATGCAAGAATACACTTTTTATGATTTTGACACGAATTCGACTGAAGCTCTCTCGTTGTCAATCTCTGGTACGCAGTAAATTCATACACCCAAATGGTCTACTGGTTAGCGCTGTCAGATTTTCAGTCTGAAGGCCCATGGTTCGAATCGCTGTGAACTTGAACTTTTTTTGCAACTTTTTTTTTTCACCAATGTTTTTTTACTTCATTCTGGTTTTCCTTTTTCATAAAATATTTGAAGTCAAATAGGTTAGTGCATTTAGGATAAACAGTCTCATTTTATTCAATTTTGTTGAAGAACTCAACTTTTGAAATATATTATTAATCAATGTGTTTCTACACTCCATTCGGTTTTCCTTCCTCAAAAATATTGCAATCAGGGATAGGTTAGTTCGTTAAGGATAAATAGTTTCTTAGTTTTGTCTTAGTACTTCGAAGATGAGATATTACGGTGGGCGTGGTTTGTGCTAGCGTACAGTATATTTAGTAAAATCGCCTCCGGGACCCAATTTACCTTAAAAATTTGCGGGGTCCTTTACAACCAAAAGTGAAATTTTCTCAACCCCACAGGTGTGGGCGAACGGAGATGTGTTGAACTTCTACAAGACCTTGGATAACATGAGGATGATACCTCTGGGACCGGCCAATAAGATGGGGAGGGGGAAGAATCAGTTGAAGAAGAAACTGGCGGGGTTGAAGTCTAAACTGATGGCGAAACCTTTGGTATCTATTTGTTGATACAGGATTTTTTCCGCTACTATTTTTTTTATATTCAATAACGACACTACTGTGTTGTTACAGGTCTCATCTACTGATTTTTTTATTTGCTTCGATATTACAAGCTAATAACAAAAGACGTGAATGGCTATAACATGATCTCGAATATCAGCGACCATTAATCGCCCTCATTAATACATACTAGTTGGATGAATAACTTTTTCACTTCTTCTATAGTCGATAATGAAACAATCATTTATCCTCTCTAAAATATTCTGATTTTGATTCTCATGTAAAACGTCACTCATCTGACAGCTGTCAAGAACTATCATAAGAAAGTGAATATTTTAGGTCAAACAATATGATGGTTCTATACAGGGTATTTCAAAAAAACCTAACCCCCTTGCTAGGGTAGGTAGAACATTGCAAAATAAGTTGGGTTTGCTCAGTAAAAAAATGTCGTAACGCCATCCGTTTTCAAGATACAAGGTGTTGAAAAAATATTTTTTCACACATTTTTTACTGGCAACATTGTAATGAAATTTTATATGGATGTGTTTTGAAAGCTGACACATCTCATGAATTTGTTTTTATATCTGACACTCATAGAGGGCGCTAGTTAAACGGTTCGTACCGAGTACTTTAGAACATAACTTTTTTGAGGTTAGCTTTTTCAATACAAATATGATATGAACTTGAACATCATTCAATTTTACACCAAAAAGGTACTGTTAGTGAAACTCGATACTATGTTCTGTTTTCGGAATATTTCGATTTGAAATAATGGAGTAATAGGTGATGCTGGTATAAAATGAATTTTATTGAGTTCAATTACCTATTTATTCAGATTCAAAAACAATAAAATTATTGTTGTGCTGAAGTTATTGATGGAACAAAGAATAATAAGTAGAAAATTAAGAGAAATTTGACTAGAAACATGAAATATTGAATCACTTAGAGCAAGTGTTCAAAACGTCCTACGTTTCGACGAATACACGATCCTATATTCTTTTCTTGAGGATGTATTATTCTTCTAAACAGTTGAGGATCAGCTGTTAGTTTATTTAAGTGATGTACAATTATGTTTTACAACTCTTGACGTGAATTTACCTATGTAGCATAGACTTTCTGCTCAAGATACAACAAAACTGTGTAATCCATGTTCTTAGTCAAATCTATTTCGATGTTATTCTTGTGATTCATTGTTGAATTAATGAATTTTGCATCAGAAATGTATTGTTGTTTTCGGTTTTCAATAAATAGGTGACAATTTTTCATAATACTCACTCTAATACATAGCTTTATACCTGCAACAGTTATCACTTCATCATTTTCAAATCGAAATATTTCAAAAACGGAACACAGTATCGAGTTTTACCAAGAGTACCTATTTGGTGTGAAATTGAATGATGTTAAAGTTGACATCAAATTTGGATTGAAAAATCCAATCTCAAAAAAGTTATGTTCAAAACTACTCGGTACGAACCGTGTAACTAGCGCCCTCTATAAGAGTCAGATATAAAAATGCATGCGATGTGTCAGATTCCAAGAGACATGTATACAAAATTTCATCACAATGTTGCCAGTAGTTTCGACATAATCTTGAAAAATGTGTAAAAAAATCATTTTTTCAACACCTTGTATCTTGATAACGGATGCCGTTACGAAATTTTTTTACTGGGTAAACCCAACTTATTTTGCAGTGTTCTAACTACCCTAGCAAGGAAGTCAGGTTTTTTTAAACACCCTGTATTTGGAAATATGTGTTAGTAGTGGAAAAACCAATATAGAAACCACGGTACAGAAGCCAATAATTATTGACTCGCTTCCTCATTTCCCTCGATACTAAAGCATCTTAGAAACCAATACAGCTCAGCTCAAAAAAATTTCTTCTGTACCTTGGTTTATAATATTTACTATTTTAATTTCAAATGGGATGATTTTTTGTGAAATGAAGTGGCCAACCGAAATAAATACGCTAGGATAAATCGTTTTTGATTTCTTGAGGCACACCTTTTTATCCTATTCTTCACTGTCCTATGTCTGATTCATTTATCAGTTGGCCACTTCATTTATTCGTTTCAAGCACGTTGAAGACAAACGAATATACAGGATGTTTCCAAAATCCGAATTTTTCTCAAGAATGTGATCTATTATGCCACATCTTCAAACTATTATTGAACGTCCGGCAGTAATGCAAAAGATATTGATACTTCCGATGCTTCTGACCTCGCCGAAAACAAACGCTCCTGTTTGGCTGTTAACCTTTTATCAGTGAGTTAGTTACAAAAGTTACAAGCAAACTTTCAAGATTCAATAATTTTTTACAAATCTATTCCTTCATTTTGCTTTGTTATTTTGTCTTTTATTGTACCCATTTCATTGTTCTATTCAATTTCGGAAGCAACCTGTATATTTCATAGAAAATATAATATTTGCTCCAGCTTTCAAAGACAAATGGTTGCAGTACTTTATTTATTTTTTGATTGATTGCATTTATGTTCATCATAAACATTGCCTTTCAATTTATATGTGATATGGAAGTGTCGCCTGAATCATATCTGAAATCATTTTCATTTCATGATATACCTATAGTGAAGGATATTTTTTCAATATTTGATATGGAAGTGTCCCTGAATCATATCGGAAATCATTTTCATTTCATGATATACCTATAGTGAAGGATATTTTTTCAAATAAATCATTTTATATGTGATATGGAAGTGTCACCTGAAACATATCCGAAATCATTTTCATTTCATGATGTACCTATAGTGAATGATATTTTTTGATATCAAATAAATTTATCTTTGGACGACTCATATTTTATAATTGTTTTTTCACAAATAACAATAATTATACCTATGAATATTTTGGAATATGTTTTAATAATATATTCTATACCTATTATCCGCAACACAGTTTGCTAAATCAATTCCCCCTTGGAGGACCTATCAAACTCATTGGGCCAGTAAGTATGAGCACCTTCATAGACCAGATATGGATTTCTGTAAACCTGGACTAACTTGAATTGTTGTGCGCGGTTAGGAAAGCATCCAAACACATCGAACCCATGTCTCGATGGGAGTTCCCTTACGAACACAGCGGCATTGCGCTCTCGACCACCATGCTGTTCTCGGTGCTCATATAGAGGATACTGGAATGACCCTGTACACAAGTAACATTTGTCACTGTCACCGGTCTCATAATCGCCAGCAACACACCCACAATAATAAAAGTTATTTATACACCAAGGTAGTAAAGAATATCATTATCAAGATTATATCCCGAGGCTTCAGCTCAGGGGTATAAGTTCCCGTGGTCCCGTTAATATTGAATTTTTTTCACAACTAGCAATATATTTCAATCATTTTAGGTGTGTGAAACCGAAATTGGACCTATTGTCACTATGAAAGCACCTATTTTCAATACTTTCCCATGACCATGACAGCATATGACAAATCGTTATCGATAAATACCTACCTTCTAGATTCGAGTGCCATTTCTGCGAATATCTAACCAGAACAGAGCATTCGGGTTAATTACAACAGAAGTGGCTATGTCTTTATTGACTATTGGATCATAAAATATGGAAAACTACCTTGGTAGTAAAAACACACTACACAATAATGGTAGGTTTTATAGCTAGTGGTGGAAAAACAATTTTTAGGTACCTAGCATTTATTCAGAAAATGCCTCGAAAATCCAGAATTCTGACTTTATTATCTCAGAACTGAAGGGGCAAGTGGAAGAAGCAAGGGTCAAGTTCTGAAAATATTCGGTTATTCAATTTCATAAACCTTCGTTGGGAAGGTTTATCAAAAATATTAAAGACAAAACTTCTAAATTCGAAAAATCAGGGGTATACAAACTCAACTGTGGATCCTGTCCTAAGGTATATATCGGTCAGACAGGTCGTACGTTTAATCAGTGCATGAACATAAGATGAATTTTTTGAAAAAGAAAACACATTCAACATACGCCAACCATATATTAGAAGAAGACCATAGTTTTGATGATGATTCCGAAATTCTACACGTAAAAAATAAAGAAATGAAACTCAATCATTTTGAATCATTAGAAATAAAAAAACTAAAAAAAATTGACATTTTACTTGACAATCAATTAGACCTCAATAGTTCACCACTGTTGAATTTGTTTTCTTATAGGTAATAAATATGTATTTGCTATCAGCCCTTTCAAGTTAATCCGGTACACCGTATTTTAATGCAGATATTGTGCCTAATTTCCGAAAATGAACGTTTATCGAACCTGTCCACAAGTACTAATCCTTCAAGTTGGGAAAGTTGAATATATAAAAGTTGAGCAACCCAAGGTTGGTTTAGTTCCTTGTACCAGTATATCACCTGACGAAGCTACTATGTTAGCGAAACATGTTGTGTGTTTAAGAATTTTGTGGAAGTCTTATCGTTTGTGTAGTTCTAACATATTTGGTTATGTCATGGAAGAAGGTGTTACGTGCATATGTAATTTGCCCCGTCAGGATTTGTTTTTATTCCTCATATCTGAGCAGATACACAGTGGTAGAAGGACGCAATGGAAGAAGGAGAAATAGGTGACCACTGTCTACATGTCAGGAAAATGGAAGAAGGTGTTATGTACGCGCATAAATCCAGATGTCTATCAAAAAATGATATGATAGCAAAATGCTGCAAATCATAAAAAATCAACCTAAAACTATTCCTCACAATTGCATTAATCAAATTATTAAACTAGCTTCCATTAAAAAAATGTCAGCTTACTTTAGTAAAACCTATTTTCCTCACAGACTCATATTCGTAACAACTCTTTCTTCCACTTGCCTCTTCAATTATGTATAATTCTGAATATTAATTATATAATTATTATATCATCACAAAATGATGTATATTTCGTACTTTCCACTCCGAATTATAATAAAATTCTGCAGTGCTATATCCTGCATGATCTATTCAAATATCCGGAATGACCCTATATACACAATGAGATACATTTGTCAATGTCACCGGTGTCATAATCGACAACAAACAACACACCCAAAACAATAACAAGTTTTTTGTAGTAATATCGTGGTAGTAATTATTGCAGAATGCCTCGAAAATCTAGCGTATCCCCGTCCGGAATCGTGCACGATTGCAAGCTTCAAGCAGATGCGGAAGAGGACGTGCTCGCGCAGATCATCGACACCGGCATTTTTATCAATCTGCGCCGCAAGCTGCTTACATTGTCGATGGTGAACAGGGACCATCCGCGTACGCAGCTCTACTATAAGTCAGGGGCGTCTTGCAGACGCGAGGGGGTCAGACATCTGGTCAATTATATGATCATGTCGCACCCGTTTTGCTTGTGGTGGTGAGTATAACCTGCCCCACAATTTGAGACGATCGAAAATTTTCTTTCATTTGTATGGATTCAACCACTATGCATAAACGCAACTTCAACAGAAGTTTAGATTTTCTTATCCTCAACTTTCACTGTACAATTTGTTGTACATTTTCCATAGAGAGAACCCAATCAGCCAAAGTACGTACTTATGTCCCGACATGTACGTCTTAAAGACGTACATATTGCGCCCAAGAGACGTCTTTAAAACGTACATTTTCCACTAATATGTACGTCTTTAAGACGTCTTTTTTAGGTGTTTTTGGTCCATGACCTCAAATTGATCTTTCAAATTACGGAAAAATCACATAGTTTCAGTTGATTTTCACCTGTGCACTGAAGTTAGCAACAAGTGCAGACAAGCAAAAAAAAAGGGAAATAACTTCATCAAACGGTTGACACAAGCGGTCACCCATTCAAGTACTTACCGCGCTCTTTGTTGCTTGACTTCGATGATTATACCATATTCACTTCTTCTGTTACTCTGTTTGTTCTATTATATCACATAACAAGCTTTTACTTACTTTAACATGTCCTTGTGTCTTTTTGTAATCAAAACGTGCAAGTTAAATTTGACTCACTTTAAATCGTCCGATTGATTTGAAATTTGGCAAGTAAATATTATCCAGGTGACAATTCGTTGTGATATTATTATTGAATGGAAAAAACAGAATGGCGGATCCAATATGGCGGACGATTTTCCCATCGATTATGTTCCGATTCGAATCAAAATTCAATATTCAAGATGGTGAATCCAATGTGACATATGGTTTTCTGATTATGGTCTGATCTGATACAAAAATTGGCATCTGAGGGATTTCGGGATCAGAGATTATAATTCCTTTTGTCGAAAATGAAAAATCCAAGATGTCGGCTTCAAAATGGCGGACGAGTTTTGTGATTATAGTCCGATTTTATTCAAAATTGATTACTATGGGACTTTTGGGGTCGGAGAATATAATTTTTTTGTAAAAATTCGTGAATCTAACATGAAGGCTCCAAAATGTCGGACGAAAAAATTCAAAAACATCACTTTTGTTGAAAATCAGAAAAAACTGAACAATTGAAAATAAAAAACGTGAAGAGATGACATTTTGTTTTTCTTCAGAAAATAACTTACATTATTGTTCTATAAGTCGAATTGACGTACTGGAATGTACGTCTTTAAGACGTCTTTTATACGATATGGGAGGAACGACGTGGATACGACCTAAAATGAGTACGTCTTAAAGACGTAAATTCGTGTACGTCTTTAAGATGTACATGGATTTACATCTTAAAGACGTACTTTATACGTCCCTAGACGTAAAGACGTAAGTAAGTCGTAAAATGTACGTCTTTAAGATGTCTGGTGCTGATTGGGAATGTAGAAATAAATGATACTTATTAATACTAAAAAAAAAAATTCAGTTGATAATTAACACAATTTTTTTCCTCATTGGAACACAATTCAGATTATAAATTTGAAAAATAATTTATGTCTTGATTTGGAGGGAGATCTGGTAATGGCTAAAGCCTTCTACTAATGTAGTATAACAAAATGCAATAATATACAGAGTGGTATATTTGAAAAGTTAGACTTCTAGTAATTTTTTTACTTCATAAAAATATATTGATTTTTCAACGACCCTGAATGTTATAATGACGATTTTTCTGCATGATCTGGAGTTAGCTTCTGACTGTTTGGGGTTATGAAAATATTGAAATTAATTTCGAGATGTATTGATAAAAAAACTCCGAAATCACTCATCACGAAAATGGTTCTAGATAGGAGTGATGATCATTCCTTGTCTGATATAAGGAAGACCGCGACCTACACCAGTTTATGAGGTGTCCGAATTTCGATTCATAGCAAAAACACAATATCCTTAATTTTTTTCGATCAGTTCATGTCATTGAAGGAGTGAGTACCCCTTAGGCGGTATGCGCGACATACCCCAACTTTTAAATATCGAATATGGTACTATCCTGTTTTTGGATGTATGGCAAAATTGATATTCACCATACAGGACGTGGAAAGAAATTCTGAATTGAAAAAACCTAATCACGAATCTATGAAGGTCTATAAAAATAACACGTTTCCATCGTTGAAGTTTGAACCCCTTGTATTGAAAAGGAATATTCTCAGATAAATTATGGCTGAAAGAATAACTGGACTTCAGGTATCTGAGGGTTTGAAATCCGAAATGAGTTCATTCAAATAAAGTCACATAACTTTTTTGTGAGAGATATATTTCTCGTTAATTAGGAGAATCAGAAAAAATCTAATATCATGGGAATATTCCTTAGACTGTATCATATTAATATGCTGAATCTGTGCACTTATATCAAAAACACCTTGTATTTATCCATTTTTTTTTTCATGTTCTTTTCCCTTTTGTGACACCTCAAATAAAAGGTCTTTATAGTATATATTCACTTGTACAAGAATTTTTTCCATCCAAAAATCCTCAATGGCCGACGTTTCATTTTTTTTCCAGCTTGTACTGGGAGTTTTTCATTTTCTGGGTATATTCGTACATGTACTTGGTATGTTCGTTGAGTGTGGCTTTTTTGCGGAACCGAGAAGTGCTCGGCAAGATGAACATCGCGAGATTGGCTGGAGATTTCGTTCTGTTGATCGACATGATCCATCTATTCTTCATGGGATATTACTGCACTGAGAAGAGTCGAACGATCATGAATCCCATCCAAGTAGCAAAGTGAGTTTTTTGATATAATTAACGGACGATGGGGAATAAATTATGTATAGTTTATGCCAAGTCAATTGAAAAAGCGAAACGAAATTTTAACCGGCTGCATGTCGGCAAATCCTTTGACAAGCCGCAGCTAACAGCGGCGGGTGAAATATTTTTTTCGCTACCACAAATAAAAGCTGTTTTTGAATGAATTTTTGATTGTTCAAAAATTACCTATATATCCATTTTGGAACATGAGAGTATCGAATATTGGTAAGTTTCCAGACCACCCATGAGGTATTACCATGGCTCGTTACTTGTTTTCTTCTAGTGGGTGTTCGCCAATAGCTCTATCGTCCCACATTTGAAATATGAATATAAAATTAAACTGAATCGAATACTCAACAAAATAAAATGAACATAAAACATCAAACTAAATGAAAATTCTCAGTAGTATAAGGAACTTCAAAATATGTATTTTTTTATCGTTTGGAGCGCACGAAAGGAAATCCCTATAATGTTCAAAGAACATCGTGCGTTCCTAGGGAGGATAGGGACAGGAGGTAGGTATTGTATTTTTTTTTGTAGTTCTGGAGATTATATGTTGTAGGGAATACTTCCTCAGGCAATGAATTCCAGAGCCTAGCCGTATGTAACATGTATGTAACAATATGAATAAGTTAAGTACTATGGAAATGCCAATAATTCTGAATTTCTCACTTAATCAATTGAACGTTGTTCTGATTGGTTTAAAATCATACGAAGAAAATAATCAACAAAATAAAATATAACCAGACCATCTTAGTGGGGGCAAAAACACAGTAATATGGGGGCAAACGTAAGACAGTATGGCCGTGTGCTCCAAAGAGTTCATCAACTACATATTCCTTCGGGAAATTTTGTTTCCTGATCATTTGCAGTAATTCTTTCTTCAGTTATTTAGGAAATATTTCCATGACTTTTTTCTCCATGAATTGAATAATATCAGCCTTTTTCGTGTTGGTGCTCGGTATTTTCGTTTGTTGACGTGAATGGTATGACGCATTATCCATAACGATGACTGAATTGCCTGGAATATTTGGTATGAGCTGCTGCTCTGCCCATTTCTCAAATAATTCTGCCGTCTATCCTCGTGATAATCGGCAGAGGATTGCTTGATATTTTTGGCCGACAACAATGCATTGTCAACAAATCCGTTTTCATTGCTGGCGTGAAGGATTATTATTCTTTTGCTTCTCGAACTCGGACCACTCAAATTACAGTTTTTGCTATCATCGTCATGAGTGTCGAACCACGTCTCATCTAGATGAATTATAGGCCTATTCGCTTCACGGTATTCCTTTATTTTACGTAGATATTCTTGCCGATGGTCTACGATGCGTCTTGATTCCATAATCACCATCCTTTGTCTAATTTTTTATGGCTGAACCCGCAATCTACTGATTCTATATGCTATATAATTATAATCCGCGTATTCATTCAAATTATCCCTGATATCTGGCAATGTTGACCCCTCATTCTCATTATAAAATCTATATACAATTCGACGAATTACTTCTTTCGAAGCAACATCAAGCTTCTTGAGTTTTTGTCTCACTCTCTTTCGTTTAACTTCATGATCTACAACTTCTCCGGTTCTAATAACTCTATATATGATGGTATAGCTTATTTTAGTTAATTCCTGTATTCTCCTCGCAAGTTGGTTTTTTGGAGAATCATTATTCTTGTCCTTGAGACGCGAATAGATATCAAAATTACCCTTTGAACGTGTAGGTCTTTATTTATCGAACTCCGCTTGCTCTTTCTTCCTCAAAAGGCCTCCAGAACGCCATATTTTAATTGCGAACCGAAACACAAAACCACTATGATTGAAATAATAATTTTCTGAATTTTGAGTAGAATCAATGAAGACAACCTATCTCCGTCGCATTACCGTACCGCACTGCCTAGCACAGGCTAGAAGATTCTTATCACACATAAGGCCGCCCATGCAACTCTGACCAATCAACATTCGGTATAGTTTGGAGTAACCAATGAGAAGCGGTTTCTAGCATGACAACGCTTGTCCAGTCCACATTGACTGCACAGACTGCATACCGGGAAAGAAGAAGAAAATATCTCATTCATTCCTATTCCAATGTTAAGCAAATCGACAAATCCTGTCCTTAAAACCGGAAGTTTTTCAACTGACTTCGCATATACTGTACCTACTTTTACACTGACACACCCTTCCGCTCACCATGTCCTCAATTGGGGACAGTCTATTCTTATATGATTTTTATACAGGTCAGAATATTTTCACTCTATTCTCATATCAAACTCTCCTCATCTGAGGAATATTGTAAGGAAGTGGAAATTAATAAAATAAACATTATTTATGACAGTGAGAATATCACTTTGTAGAACTCCAATCCTATAGTTTTTCTTGGTGACATTTCAATTGCAGCAACTGTCAAAACCACTTTGTTCTGCAGACACACAGATGCATTTTTTAATTCTGATTATTCCACCAAATTTGTGGAACAGTCACCTGGAAGTCAGGCAAACTTCTGATGGTCGATGGTTTCATTTTGTACCACATGGGAGTTATCGAATTCAAAATTTCGCTTTGAAAAATTGCCAAAAACTCAACTTATTCCAATGACACACACCTACAATTTTTTTTTCCTACGACTACTACTGTAAGTGATGGATATTGTACACAAAACAATGGCAGTAAGCTTCTCCTTACACACGTGTGCGTAAAGAGAGCGATCGCACGGTTTTCATGGGTATGTTGATAGATGACTTTTTGTTGCTTAGGCGATGTGTCAATAACAATTAACAATTTCATTAATGTCACTAGCTAGGTGGGTAGGTACTTATCTTTTTATCAATCAATCCAGCTATCCACCGAAACCGAAAGCATCAGGAAAGTTATATTTTTTGAAAATATGATTATTTTCTATTGAGAATACTCAATTTCAGTTTAAAAAAATGATGTCAAGCGTTGACGATGAGCAGATTATTTCTACACTACCAGAAATGTTGGAAAAAGCTAGAATGGTAAAAAATGAGTTGCTACCCGCTAAGTCTCGTAAATGATACGAAATAGCACATCAAAAATTCCTGGACTGGAGAATTAGAAATAATACCGTGTCATTTTCGGAAAATATCCATTCAGTATATTTTCAAGAATTACCAAATTTCATGAAATCATCATCACTCTGGACGATAGGTATATTCCATGTTACGATCAACACTAAAATATCAATCACAATATCAATATAGCAACATAATATCCCATTTCCGAAGTAAAAAATCAAAGATACTTAGTGCTGAATAGATCAATTACTTTCTGCAAAATGCTCCTGTTGAAGGTAATTTTTCAAATAGAGTAAATAATAGGAATTATTAAAAAAGATCCATCTTCGATATTATATTTATAAAATATCTTCTAATAGTGAGAAATGGCAATAGCTCAGTTGTTGGAAGCGCTGGCTCCGAACCCAAAGGTCGGTGGTTCAAAGCAACTTTTTTTTATTTTTTTTAATAACGATTACAGAATCTCTCGTGCTGCACTGTTACAAATAAATAACCATTATGAATGTTAATTTTATATTTTTAAACAATGTGTTCTCGACTACCTATTAATAAAGCTGTTTAGATATGAAAAACGGCTCGATTTCAGTTCGAATTGAGGAAAATGTCTCAGTATGCATGTATCAATAAACAAACACAAAAATTGTGATTTGTAACTTTTCATGCAGCTGGCTTAGTGACGGTAGACGTTTCATATTGATATTCGTTATTTGTGCCTTAATACAATATCTGCACAATCCAGAAGAAAATATAGTGTAGTCGTAGAAAAAGTATAGTACAATTCTCGAGTTGTAAAGCAATTACGCACTTGTGGAGTTACACACTCGCCGCTATGCGGCATCGTGCGTAATATGCGTTTTACAACTCTTGTTATGTAATATACTATTTCACCTACTTGAGAGAAAATTCAATTTGAGGATAGGATAGATCACCTGGAGTATAGCTCCAAATCAACCCAATTTTTGAGATACAGGGTATAATAATAGGAGAGATCACGATATTGGATATGAAAAGTGTATGTGTAAATTTTTTTTTCAGGCACTACTTAGCTACATACTTTTTCGTGGACCTCATTTCTTCGGTGCCATCTTATTGTGAAATCTTGAAATGGTTGTTTGATATAGACGAGTTCAATAATCCATATCTGAGTGCAATGCGTCTTCTTTCCATATTCAAAGTATTCAGAATAGGTCGATGGTTGGAGACCTTGGAATTGTACCGGCAGGTAATATTTGTTAGTTCTATATTTCTGCGCCACATCTAATTTAGTTGATAATAAGGGACAGAAAAAATGTCGATTGCGTTATCTACCAAAATAAAACATCTGGAACTTTTTTATCAAAAGACGGACTAAGACTATATACATCGATGAGATAATTAAGAAATGCACAGCTAGAGTGAAAAACTACATGTGGGATACAGATTTCTAAGAAGAACTGATATATCCGAAGGAGCATTTGCCGACGACAAAGTAATTATCGCGGAAAAAGAAGAGGACTTGCAGAAAAATATGGAGATATGGAATGAAATTGAATACGATCCCTGCAAATAAAAGTACATCAGGCACAATCAATAATTTTCCACCCGCATCAAGGACTCCCTCAGGGCTCACCCTTGTCCACATTTTTCTACAATATACACTGTTTTGACGTTTTTAATTGGAACAATCAAAATCTACAAAATCAAAACACATTCATCTATGACATACAATTTGCTGCTGATACAGCCATTATATAAGTCATCATAAATCACTTGAAAAAGCAGTTGAAGAGGTACAAAACGCAATTCGGAACACTACGAGATGGTGTGAAAGGTGGAGGCTAAAACCAAATACAGAAAAATCCCAACTGGTACTCTTCAATCAAAAAATATCAAATGATTCACCCACGGTAACTGTGAACAATCATGTAGTGAGACCTAGGGCATTAGTTAAATATCTGGGAGTGCACTTAGATCAAAAACTAAACTTTTACCATCATACCCAGTTGATGAAAAAAAAAGTGCATCACAAGAGCTAAACATTTTCGAAGCCTAACTTACAAGAATAAAGTAATTAGCAAAAGAACTGCAGCACAAATTTACAAAACCATTTGCCGCCCAATTCTTGAGTCTGCTCACCCAATATACATAAACACGAGAAAGACGGCACTGAACAATTTGGAAGTAGCAGGAAGAGCTATGCTGAGAGCCATTACCAAAATCCGACACCTTCAAAATCCCCTCCACCATCCATCAAACGAACTTCTATATCGGCTGACCAGGGTGCAACCAATTTCTGAGAGACTGAATAAAAAGCTAACGTTGAAGTTTTCCAAAAACGAATCCATTCTCCATATCCAATTGCAGTGTTTACAGAGAGATCCGACAGTGAACCCAAGAGGGACGTTTACGGAAAACACACTATTGGAATGCTTAATCAATTCAGAAGACTAAAATTTCTTCAAAATTCTTGCCTCACAATAGACTCTTCTTTTTTTTTTTACACTAGCAAATTTAATAATTCCGTATATCTTGTACATACAATAATGATGAATTTAAACTCAATGTATAATCACTGTGTAACACAGGCTGTAGGACCTCGGTCGGTAGCCTTTTGGCTATCCAATAAAGCTCCTTAATTATTATTATTATTGAATGCAAATAAAACGGAAGTGATAGTGATAATAACAGACCAACAAAATGAACAAATTGACGGAATAAATATTGAACAAGTGAAAAGCTTTAAATACTTATTGGGAGTAGACATAGAAGACAGTGGAAGACAAGACAAGGAAATAAATAGCAGAATAGAAAAAGCTCTAATTATATTATGCGATGAACAAGTCATTTATAAACAAGAGGGAAGTAACAAGATAAATAAATAAAATAAAAAGTAAAATCCAAGCCAAGGAAATAAAATATCTAAGAAGTTGATGGGCTTATATAAGCCCGAAACATGTTCCCTTATATGATCTATGATCATTAAATAAAAGTTGTGGAGATGACTTTGGGTTTTCATCTATGTATCTAAGAAGAGTTGAAGGGGTAACAAGAAGAGATAGAACTAGGAATATAAGAAGAGAAGAACTAGAGGTACAACCAACACACGAATTCATAGAAAAACGTCAAATGAGCTGGTGGGGACACTTACAAAAAATGAATGATGCAAGACCGGTAAAACAGGTATGGAAAGCAAAAATACAAAATAGGAAAGAACGAGGAAGACCAAGACAAACATGAGACGGAGCTATGGGAGAAATCTTAAGGAAGAAATGAAAAACATGGGAATAGGCAAAGCGTATGAGATGAAATGAAAAGGAATATGGGCCAGATTTGTACATGAAACTCTGTGAAAATGTGAACGTTCCAGATCCAAATTCAAATAAACTGTCGAAATTCAGCCTTTTTAAACAAAGCATTCTTTCCAGAGCCCTCTTCGCGAAAATGTCTTTCTCCCAAGTATGATCAACAGGAAAGTATCGATAATATCGTGTGATACATCATTGTAAAAAAAAGGCTTTTCAAAAATGTATACATCCAATATGGCGCCCATAAGAAAAAAAAAAGTTGTGTGTTGAAACTTTGGCTTCAAGAAACGTCATGGGAATTGTAAAAAAGTGCCTTAGGAGTCCCAGTCAGAAACGTCTAGGTCTTTTGGTCTCCGCTTGAAAAAATAAAAACGAAAATTATAAATTTGCCCTAATCAAACCGACCTCGTATCTCTTATAATAACTGAGATCCCCATGGCGAAGCTCGAAAAACGAACACCCTGTATGTTGGGAAGTCCTAAAACTATTGTCTACTTCCAGATATATTCGAAAAGATACAATCAAATTTGGCGATTTGGTTTCGAAAAAACCAACATTTCCACTTTTTTACCTCTACAAAATGACGTTCACCAAATCTCCGTATAACGTTTAGTTTCTAAGAACCGATTACTGATATTTCCATGCTCTTCATCCTTATCTTGGGCACACTGTATATCGAGAACAATGCTATTATAACCTTCCTATTTCAGTACATGAATTACTCGAGCTATTGGTTCAAGGCCATCAAAGCAGTGCTGATGTATCTGGTGCTTATTGTATTGTTGTACGCAGCCATCTTCACAGTAATGAACTTTATGATATTCACCGAATCGCCTGATCGCAGCGAAATGTACAAGTTCGAACGTTTCTACAAGGCCACCATGATTTTATTGGTCGTCTCACACGGGGATAACACTCTCATATCCACCGCGAACATAGCTGTCGTTTCGTTATTCCTGTGTGTTGGATATGTTATGCAACTTTTTTTGTACGGTAAGTCCTATGTAAGTACTCTTTGGATGATATGTAACAAGGTGTTTAGGTAGGGCAATATAGAGAGACGATTCAAAGAACATATTGCTAAAATAATCTACACCTTTTCCAATTGTAATTTAGAAAGCGTCAGGTGTAATTCGGACAATATCATTTGTAATTCAGATTAGTAAATTCAAATTCGGAAGATATCAAATATTATTCAGATTAGTCCATTGAAATTCAGAGAGTCAATTGCAATTAAGATTAATCAATTGAAATTCAGAAAGCGTCAATTGAAATTTAGGAAGCGGCAATTGAAATACAGAAAGGGTCATTTGTGATTCAGAATGTATCATTTGTAATTCAGAACGGGTCAATTGAAAATCAGACTACGTCATTTGTAATTCAGATTAGCTAATTGAAATTCAGGAAGCGTCAGTTGAAATTCAGATGAGTCAATTGAAATTCAGAAAATATCAATTTTAATAGAGTTTTACCTTTGCTTGTTGAGCCAAGCATACTGAATGTAGATAATAAATAACAAAGCAATATTTTTTTCGGAAATTACGTTTTCTATTATAACTTCCCCATTTTACTATTGAAATTGATTTCAATTGACCATCAATGAAAATATTCCATAATTCTGAAATCACTGGTTCTATATCAATATACCTTCATAAATCCATCAGTCTGAATTACAATTGACACATTCTCAATTACAATTGATGATATCTGAATTTCAATTGATACTTTCTGATTTTCATTAGACTAATCTGAGTTACGATTGAAGTTTCCTTAATTCCACTTGTCTAATACGAATCACAATAAATATTTTGTGAATCTCATGTTAGTTTTCTGAATTACAAATAACGTAGTCTGAATAACAATTGTTGCATTCTGAATTACAAATAACGATATCCGAAGTTCAATTGACGCTTTTTAAAATTCCAATTGAAAAATCTGATTCACAACTGAAGTTTTCTGAATTTCACTTGACTAATCTGAATTACAATAGATATTTTCTGAATCTCATGTTAGTTATCTGAATTACAAATAACGTAGTAGAGGTAACAATTGTTGCATTCTGAATTACAAATAGATAGATAGATAGGATTTTATTTATCATGAAGATAATACATACATATGAAGGAAATATCTCGGGAAATATTACAGGAACCTTGTGAAGATAACAAACAGAAAGGTAATGAAATTAATATTATAATTATAATATAATAAATATGATCAATTAATGAATAGATATACTGAATAGATGATCATACTGATTTCAAAATTTGATCAAAATTTGGTCACTCCTATTAAGACGACAATATGATGGACATAATAATTTCAAGAATGAGGTCATTTTGTATAGGTTTTTCTATCATTTATATGTTTGATGAGAGATGATTTGAACTTTATTATAATAGGTATATTCTTGATATCGTCAGGTAACGCATTATATTCAATTATACCACGGTAGAACAGACTATTCATCGTACAATTTTTTGACACAGAGTTCACATAATAGTTGTCTCTAGATCTGGTGTTATATGCATGTACATCGGAAACTTTAACTAGATGTGAAAACAAGTACTGAGGCAATATTTTATTAACCATTTTGTGAATGAAGATCATAGTATTTTTGTAATATGTATCCTTCAAGTTCAACCAGTTGAGTTTATCGAGCATACTCTCTATACTAGTATACCTGTCGCATCCAATAATTATTCTCATAGCGTGATTCTGCAAATAACGATATCCGAAGTTCAATTGACGCTTTTTAAAATTCCAATTGAAAAATCTGATTCACAACTGAAGTTTTCTGAATTTCACTTGACTAATCTGAATTACAATAGATATTTTCTGAATCTCATGTTAGTTATCTGAATTACAAATAACGTAGTATAGGTAACAATTGTTGCATTCTGAATTACAAATGACGATATCCGAATTTCACTTGACTAATCTGAATTGCAATTGATAGTTTCTGAATTTCAATCAGCTAATCTGAATCACAATTGACACTTTCTGAATTCCATTAGAGAAATCTGAATTACAATTTACGATTTCTGAACTACAATTGAAAAAGGTGTAGTGACGCCAAACAGATACAGAGAAGAGCTATTCGCCTGGTGGGTGATGTCACATTTACCAAATCTTTGACCCCATGAGTAGAACACCGTAGACCTTCCTACGGTGTTCTTATGGAGTCAAAGAGTTGGTGAGTGTGGCATCACCCAACAGACGAATGGTGTTTTTCAAACTAATATTCATTCATTTGAATCTTCCGGAATATGCAACATACCAGGATTGGTTTCATTGTTTGGAATGATTATTTTTAGCTGAAGTCATGCAGGTGTGGAACAAATTCGAGAGTGCCAGTAACAAGAACGATAATTTACTTCAACAATTCAAGGAATATATGAAATACAAAGGGTTGCCGATACAGATAAGAGAAAAAATGTTCACTTACTTCAATTTCAAGTTCCAGAACGAATTTTTCAATGAAGCCCAAATTAACAGTATGGTTTCTGACATTTTGAAGCAGGTAATTACTCACGAGAAATCAGATATTTCAAGCTTACAACACCTCCAAAAACGCCTCCACCTATTTGTTTGTACAAGAAGTTCATCTTTTTTTGGCAAATTTCAAACTTTCATTCAGCAAACATTTTTTAGGAAATATTGATGCACGTGACGAAGATTCATCTTGAGAAGGCGCAATTTTTCAAAGGCATTCCAGAAACGGTTCTTATGAAAATCGTTTCTCAGCTGAAATCAGAAATTTATTTGCCTGACGATGTGATAGTGACAGCCGGAACACCTGGAACATGCATGTACTTCATTTATTTCGGCACTGTCGCCGTATATACGGCTATGGGAAAAGAGGTAAAAAAGTCTGAACCATTCGCAAAAATCAGAAAAAAACGAACTTTTGACCTTTCAATCTAGGACAGAAATGGTACAAGGTAATTCACCATAAATGTCCCTCCTCTAGCTTAGTTATTTTCGTACCGATTCCAACATCTGAAGAATCATTCGAGATTTTAGTTGCTCTTGGTCTATGGATCTAAAATATTTTCAGCAATGCAGCGTTGTCGCTTATACCAGAAAGTAGTAGCAACTTTGTATTTCAAATGGAATACCCTGTATTTAATAAATAATAATGGATACGAGATCCAGATGACATTGTACCATCATTCAGGCATGTTATTCCATGAATAAATGGGCGTTTTGTCAATTCTCGGAGTTGTTAAAAATTTTAAGCAGAAAGCTTCACTTTTCATCTTTGACACCCTGTACTCGAAAACTAGTCAGCCGATTTCTTTGTGCCCATGGACACTTTTGCTTAGGGAGTCAAAATCTACATCATACCAAAAATTCAGGGAATTTAACCGAAAGCCATTTTCCATAACTATGACAATTTAATTCATGCATGAAAAATTCCACAAGCCGCGTGATTTTGTCATTATGACAGCGAAAAAAGTTTGCCCTAACTTTTCCAGCGACAATAACGGAACCTAACTTTTGAAAGCATGACAACTAGCCATTAACAAATGTTAGATGTATTAAATTGTCTTACCGAATTACACTCTAGCTTTTTTGTTAGTCGAAGTAAACTTGGCATTTATACTTCGAATTTTTTTGCCATCAGCTAATTCAACTCAAAAAACTGACAGAAAAAATTACTCTCCAGTTTTTTTCGTCGCATTGACAGGCAACAAAATTCTTCTTGATACATGTCAAGTTTACTTCGACAAAAAAAAGCTCTCCAATTATAAGTGGAAACCATCTAGGTGAACGTTTAAATCGTTAAATGTCACGAGGATTCACAATCTATAGGCGATTCATGCCAAGGAGTACTCCCTCTACCGTTGTCTAATATAACTAACGTATGGGCCATTGATTGCTTTGTTTACATTAGTTTGCGTGTATTTTGTATGAGAAGTAGTCTTGTTTTAATTGTCTATAATTTTGTTTGAGAACTTCTATAAACGTTTAAAAACATGAGTCATCATTGTTGTGTACCTCATTGTTCATTTTGAGCAAAAAAATCCCGAGTATAGCTTTCATTCCTTTCAAAAATCAGTCTAAATTTGTATTTAAAACTAATAATTTGGGAAACAAGGAAGTGATCGGTAGGAGAAAGGTGTGGATTCATAACTTGAAGATTGGAAAAAGTGTAAAGTGTCTGAACATAATGAGATATTGTTCTTTACACTTCACTGAAAATTTACTCATACCTATAGGTATATTTTCAAATGTATGTCCATGTACCTATGTCTATTATGAATATAATACCTACTTCTTGAGGTGGTGGTAAAAGAACAAACAAATTTCAAACTGATTATATCTTTACTCATGAATAGTAGAATTTTTGAACAGTAAAGAATGTTATCAATCAGGGTTTCGATGATTATGTTGTAAAAAGTCAAGTAGAAACTGTTTACCTAAATTCACCTTCCAAAGAACACTTTATTCCCAAAAAGTTTGCTGGATTCTGTTTTAAAAATATCATGCACTATCAGGGAAATATCCCAGCTATATATTCGAATTGGAAATCGACATTCCACACAGGTTTTCATGAGAATTCTTGTTCAATAATGATAAAAACTTACAGCCTATGCATGTTGGTATATATGAAGTTCAACTAGAGGTAGGGAGGTTATCTTATGTTGAACAGAGATAATATAGTCCTCAATCAAAACACAGTAGACCGCTGAAAAATACAAAGTTCGAAAATAGACAAATAACAAAGCTGGACGTTTGAGAACTCAAAACGAAATGAACAAAAAAACCATTACCAAACAATGTAAACAATCCGCCAATGGCCCATAGAGTAGTACCGATAGATACAACGAATATCTAAATATCAAAAATTGTTTATTTTGCATTGAAAACCATCCAGGTGCACGTGAAATATCGAAGCAGAACCGATTTTTTTTTTCTATATTTTTTAAACCGATGCTAGCGACAAATGTTTTGTTATGGCAATCGACTAGCGATAAATAATGTAGTTGAAACTCGAGAAATACGAAATGGATCTGCAAGTTTATGGAGCTTCAAAGTTCAACACCAGAGGCTGCACACTTTGTGATTATCGCAAATGGTTCATGAGCTCTGATCTGATGACATCAGCGGTCTAGTTAGTGATTCATGTCGGTCGTCACCCCCGTCTGTATTCACCAAAGTTCAACCTTCTATAGTCCGTAATGATTATCAGATATGTCATCTGGAGGACGGGGCCCATTTCGGCGAGATAGCGCTGGTGTTCAACGAGCCCCGCATCGCGACAGTAGTCGCAGTGACACCCTGTGAGCTGTTCAAGTTGAAACGAACCGACTTCCTCGACGTCATCGAGCCCTTCGCCGAACTCAAAACCCAGATCGTCGCCAACGCCAGAGAGAGGTTGCTCCGATCAAGGATCGAAAGTTTTTGAACAGCTAAGTAGGTCCCAAATTGAGAGGTGGAGAGATTCTCGAGCCGTGTTGAAACAGTTGGCAACGTCGCATTGAGACAGAGTCCTGCCTGTGCGTTACTGGCGAGCGTTCAAAGTCTACTTCTTTGTATAATTGGGACTGAAATTCGACAAAGCAGAAAGAAGAACAAAGAAACTACTCAGTTCTCACTTTACTGACTGAAATAACAAAATAAAGAACATAACCTCAATCCTCGTCTCTACTCAAACACTTGTGAGCTCCATTACTTTTACACTATCCTGAATTTTTTCATATGAACAATACATTAATTCACCATTGTCAACTAAATGAACTCAGTGCTCGACAGCATGGCTACCAACGAGAGTGTAAACTTGTAGACGGTGTTGCCAAGTTTCTTCAGCACGGCTCAGGATCTAAGAAGGCTAAGTTATCAATTTTTGTTTGATATTTCTTAATAATAATTGTTTATTTTGTTATGTATCGTTGATTATTCAATATAGTTCAGATGGTTTATCAATTTATCACCAACGAGAGTGTAGGCGTGTAAAACTTGTAGACGTTGTTGCTAAGTTTCTTCAGCACGGCTCAGGAGTTAAGAAGGCTAAGTCATCAATTTTCGTTTGATATTTTTTTTTTTTTTTTTTTATCGCTTGGAGCGCACGAGAGGGAATCCCTATAATGTTCAAAGAACATCGTGCGTTCCTAGGGAGGATAGGGATAGGAGGTAGGTATTGGAATTCTTTTTGAACTTCTGGAGATTATATGTTGTTGGGAACACTTCCACAGGCAATGAATTCCAGAGCCTAGCCGTTCTATGGATGAAGGAGTTTTGATAAAGTGCTGTTCGGCATCTTTCGAGGTTGACAACGAAGGGATGTGCTGACTGGGCTTGTCTAGTTCGTCTGACTGGTATTGCTAGTGAAGGGATGATAGCAGAGATTTCCGAAGAACATTTCCCGTGGAAGTATCGATAGAAAAGTGAAAGGTCGCCGACCTTTCTACGGTGTTCCAATGATGTCAAAGAGCGAGTGAGTGTGGCGTCACCCACCAAGCGGATGGCTCTTCTCTGGATGGAATCTAAGAGCATCAGCGTATGTTTCGGTGCTGAACCCCATATGTGGGAACAGTATTCTAGAACAGGCCGTATCTGCGCTTTGTAGATCATGAGGAGCTGTTGAGGTGTAAAGTAGCATTTCGCACGGAACAAGAATCCGAGTTTTTGTGAAGCAGCTTTTGCGATGGATCTGACATGATTATCCCATGAAAGAGTGTTGCTGATGGAAATACCGAGCATAGATATGGTGGGTTTGGTGGGGATGGTGGTGCCAGACATTACAATGTCGGGCATACTGAGTTCCGCCTTTCTAGAGAAAATACAGGCTTGAGTTTTGGTGGCGTTGAATTCAACTAGGTTGTTGGTTCCCCAGGCTGTGATTTCAGCAAGGTCTTCATTGACAGCATTGACCTGCCTGCGCCGTGTGTTCTTAGTTTCCTGGGAAGAAATAGGAATTCTGGAAGAGAACGCTGTATGGAGGGTACTATCATCTGCAAAGCTGTGGATGGGGCAAGTTGTTACTCCCAACAGATCATTGATATGAAGAAGGAATAATGTTGGTGCCAAAATTGATCCTTGTGGAACGCCGGAATTGATGCCAATTGTATCAGACGATACACCGTCCACCACTACATGAAGCGATCTGCCTGAAAGAAAACTCGATAAGAGATGGCATAGCTGAGGTGGTAAGCCGTATGATGGTAGTTTGTGGAGGAGTCCTTCGTGCCAAACACGGTCAAATGCTTTCGATATGTCCAAAGCGACAGCTAGAGATTCCCCGTGTTTTTCTAATGAAGCTTGCCATAGATGGGTGACGTAGGCAAGTAGATCTCCAGTAGATCTTCGGTGGCGAAAGCCGTATTGTCTATCATTGATGATTCCCGAGCTCTCCAGATATTTGATGAGCTCAATGTTGATGGCTTTCTCCATAACTTTGGAGATTACTGATAACAGGGCAATGGGCCTGTAGTTGTTGGGCAGGTTCTTGTTCCCTTTTTTGGGGATTGGTTGGACTCTAGCTGTCTTCCAGCATGATGGAAAAATACCCGACCTGTACGAGACGGTAAACAACTTGCAGAGAATCGGTGTTAATTCTGGTGCACATTTTTTGAGGATAATGGGTGGAATTCCATCAGGACCGTTAGCCTTATTCGTTTTGAGACCAAGCAAAATTCGTCTGATAGTGCGTTGACGGAAGACGATTTCGGGCATTCGACTCTCAACGGGTGGAATGTCTGGCGGCACTTTTCCTTGGGAATCTAAAGTAGAGTTTGCTGCGAAAATCTCTGCAAACATATTTGCTTTCTCCTGCGATGTTGTTGCTAATGTGCCGTCGGATTTGGACAGTGGTGGAAATGAACTATTAGTGAAATTTCTTCCGACCGCTTTAGCAAGGGACCAAAACGAACCAGAGCCATTGGGACAATCTATGAGTTTCGATCTTATCTTGGCATTGTATGTTTCTTTCGAAGCATCTATTGTTTGGCTGCAGTTATTTCTGGCATCAACGTATTCTGCTCTAGTCGCGAGGTTAGGGTTTTTGCGCCAGCGATGGTAGGCTGTTTGTTTCAAGGCAACAGTTCTAGAACAGTTTTTGTTGAACCAGGGTTTCGATGGTGATGATCTTTTTGAAGAATGGGGTATGTATGTGTCCATTCCGAGCATGATGATCTCGGATATTTCCGCAGCACACTGTGAAGGGTCCTCAGAGTCAAAGCATACTCTATGCCAAGGAAACTCGGAGAAAAACATGCGGAGACCGTCCCAATCTCCTGAATTGTAGTGCCATATACGACGTGGGGGTGCCGGATCAGTTGATGGAATGAAAAATGGGCAGGTTGTGGAGATGAGTGTGTGGTCAGAATTGCCAAGTGGAGCTCGTACATCTATAGTGTAGGGTTCTGAATTATTAGTGAGGAATAAGTCAAGTATGTTAGCTGAATGGTTATTGGCATCGGGAATTCGTGTGGGTTCTTTGATGAGCTGCTCTAAGCCGTGAGTGATGGCAAAAGCTTCGGCTTGTCGCCCAGCTTCATCCGTTTTGTTAGAGTGTACGAGCCAAGCAGTGTTGTGTACATTGAAATCGCCCATGATGATGATTTCTGCTGCTGGATGATTCTGTTGAATTTGGTCAAGCTTCAGAGACAAGAATTCGAAGAGCTCTTCATAGGATGGATCATTTGGTGATAAGTAGAGACAACAAAGGTATTTGGTCTGTTTGTGGCTATCGAGCTTGAACCACATGACATCAAACTTATTTGGTTCCAAAGTTTTTTCTCGTTGACATGAGAGATTCGTTTTGGAGTAGAGGCAGAGACCTCCCTTGAATCTGAAACGTGTGTGGAGTTCGTACCCAGGACAGAGCAGATAGGTCGTATTGGTGGATGAATTGACCTGTGTCTCAGTAAGAGCCAATATGTCTGGCTTTTCAATTTGAAGGTGTCGATGGACTTCGTTGATGTTCTTACTTAGACCTCGGATGTTACATAGGTCTATCTTGAGGACTTTTTCAGTCGATGGTGAACCCCCTCTAGCACCTCTCGCCCGGAAATCCGAATGGAGAGGTATTTTACTTCCGGATAATTTTACTTGAGGAGAACTCATCATCGCTTATTCTGTATAAAGAAGGGAGGTTGGCGTGGAAGGAAAAGGAAATTGGGTTGGGTTGGGATGGCCGGAACATCAACCAGCTACTGAAACACGGGTAAGTATACCCATTTCACAGTGCCTATGGTTGATGTGGTGGTATCGCACCGGGCGATGGCGTTAACCATCTTCCACCAGGAGTTAAGAAGGCTAAGTCATCAATTTTCGTTTGATATTTGATAATGTTCATTGTTTATTTTGTCACATATCGTTGATTATTCAATATAATTCAGATGTTTTATCAATTTATCGTTGTTTTTTATTAGGTTAGATTCACAATGTTGGCTCAAATTAAATGAAGAATTGAGAATAAAAAAATACTGATTATTGTATTTGAAAGGTCCTTATTTATTTTATATTGCAGGAGGTCATATCATCACCGTTCCTCTTTCAAAATAACAATGGTATATTATTATACAAGGTTTATAAGACACTATATTGTCCCATCAAGTGAACAATTATCATAATGTTGAATTTCGTTTGCAGTGATGAAAGTTGAATGAGGGACAATTTGTTTGTTAACTGTCAATGGAAAAAAAAATTTCGAACTATTTCTCGTGAAAGAAAAAATATACGTATGATTATATTATTATATATGAGATATGAACAATTGGCTGTGGCCGAGGTCATCACCTGACCTTGCGATGAAATGAAAACTACGGAAAAACATCCCTAACTTTCAATATAAGCCAGGAGTTAGGAATATTTTCCCGTAGTTTTCATGTCATCTCAACGTCAGATGATGACCTAGGCTACCGCGATTACAGTTCCTGATTCATTCTGTTCATGTTTGAACATAAAAAAAGTTTTCTAATTCACTGCAGTTCCTTCCTTGAGGAAGCAAGAATGAAACTTACATTCAAGTAACACTATATCGCAACATTCCAATTACTCATCCAGATATATCAAAACAAACAACTGGAGCTGCTCTAATATATGCGCTGTTTTCGTTGTATTCGTTAATTATCCCCACCATTTGTGATTTCCGTATTTGGCGTTCAAGATTGTTTGCGTACCTATACTATTGAATGATTTATGAATGAATTGCAGTGTCTATGGATTGTTTTTTAATCTGAGCATTCACCCGCAAATGTACAAGTGTCTGTCATTATCCCCACCATTCACGTTTTCTTTTATTCATTCGGGGTATCTATTAATTGTTATTCAGTTCCGGATTCTGTCTGAACATGAAAAAATGTTCTCGAATTTACTTTAGTTCCTTTATTGAGGAAGAAAGAATGAAACTTACATTTATCAAACACGATCGCAACATTCCGTTCCGTCAAGACCTGATCAATTAAGTCATCTGGAGCTGCTCTAATATATGCGCTGTTTTCGTTGTATTCGTTAATCATCCCCACCATTCGTGATTTCCGTATTTGGCGTTCTAGACTGTTGACATACCTATACTTTTTGATGATTTATGAATGAATTGCGGTGTCTATCGATTGTTAGTCAATCTGAGCATCCACAGGCAAATGTACGAGTGTCTGTCATTATCTCCACCATTCGTGTTTTCTTTTATCCATCCGGGGTATCTATTATTTGTTATTTAGTCTGAGATTTGAACAATACAGTTCCGGATTCATGACTGAACATGAAAAAAGTTCTCGAATTTACTTTATTTCCTTTATTGAGGACGCAAGAATGAAACTTACATTTATCAAACACGATCGCAACATTCCGTTCCGTCAAGACCTGATCAAATAAATCATCTGGAGCTGCTCTAATATATGCGCTGTTTTCGTTGTATTCGTTAATTATCTCCACCATTCGTGATTTCCGTATTTGGCGTTCCAGACTGTTGACATACCTATACTTTTTAATGATTTATGAATGAATTACGGTGTCTATCGAATGTTATTCAATCTGAGCATCCATAGGCAAATGTACGAGTGTCTTGTCATTATCGCCTCCAGTCGTGTTTTCTTTTATCCATCCGGGGTATCTATTATTTGTTATTTAGTCTGAGATTTGAACAATACAGTTCCGGATTCATGACTGAACATGAAAAAAGTTCTCGAATTTACTTTATTTCCTTTATTGAGGACGCAAGAATGAAACTTACATTTATCAAACACGATCGCAACATTCCGTTCCGTCAAGACCTGATCAAATAAATCATCTGGAGCTGCTCTAATATATGCGCTGTTTTCGTTGTATTCGTTAATTATCTCCACCATTCGTGATTTCCGTATTTGGCGTTCCAGACTGTTGACATACCTATACTTTTTAATGATTTATGAATGAATTACGGTGTCTATCGAATGTTATTCAATCTGAGCATCCATAGGCAAATGTACGAGTGTCTTGTCATTATCGCCTCCAGTCGTGTTTTCTTTTATCCATCCGGGGTATCTATTATTTGTTATTTAGTCTGAGATTTGAACAATACAGTTCCGGATTCATGTCTGAACATGAAAAAAGTTCTCGAATTTACTTTATTTCCTTTATTGAGGAAGCAAGAATGAAACTTACATTTATGCAACACTGTCTGGCAACATTCCAATTACTCATCAAGATATATCAAAACAATCATCTGCAGCTGCTATAATATATGCGCTATTTTCGTTGTTCATTATCCCCACCATTCGTGATTTTCGTATTTGGCGTTCAAGATTGTTGAGGTATGAATGAATTGCGGTGTCTATCGATTGGTATCCCCACCATTCGCGTTTTCTTTAATCCATCTGGGGTATCTATTTATTGTTATTCAGTCTGAGATTTGAACAATACAGTCCCGGATTCATTGTGTTCATGTCTGAACATAAAAAAAGTTCTCGAATTTACTTTCCTTTATTGAGGAAGAAAGAATGAAACTTACATTTATCAAACACTATCGCAACATTCCGTTCACTCGTCAAGACTTGGTCAAAAAAATCATCGGGAACTGCTCGAGCTCGACCTGGAGTGCTTCCTCCTTCTCTGCGCCGGGCTCCTGGAGTGCGGCCGCCTCCTGGGAGGACTCCTCCTCGCCAGTCGGATGGGGGATCGCCTACGGAATCTTGGCGGTGTCCGGCGGTGCATGGGCGGTCGCCTGCCTCCGTGCAACATGGGAGGCGGCGAGCGACGCGGGGGCATGGGGCGCGGTTTCGGGATCAGCACGGGGGCGGCGGTGATTTCTTGGCCGTCCACTGGAACGAGGTGGGGGTAAGCCCAGGTACTTTAGCAATAAAGTTCAGCGATATTTTCAATTTTTTACGTTACACATTCTGCGATAACAATTTTCCAGTATGAAATAGGATAATCAAGGAAGGAATGTACAGTGTGTCCAGTTTTCGATGCTTTTGCCTCATATCTCAGTTATCTTTGGAGATAGAACATTGCGGTTTTCGCGGTCCTGTGCCACTTTTTTGTGAAACTCAAGATGGCCTAATCAGATTTTGCAAGACTGTTTCCGTTTATGAGATACAGGGCGATTTTGAAAATTTATACTATTTGGACCCCCTCCATATCCACGAAGTTTCTCAACAAAAATGTCAGATCAAAATCTTATCGCATAGAGAATTTCACGCATAATCCAGTGGCGCACTTACATTTTTTTTTTCGGGGTATGGTTTTGAAGATACGACTCAAACTTATGATTTTTTGAATGGAACACCCTGTATCTCATAAGCTCATTAAATTCCTTATTTTTTTGTCATCAAAATGATATGTAACGAATAAATATAAAATTTTCAAAATTGCTCAAAATCACTGAAATATTGAATTTTGATAGTTGGTTATGGATTTTTCTTATAAAAAACGTTCCTATTGAAGAAATATTTCTTCAAATTTTTCCATGGAGAGGTCAAAACAAATATCAACACTTATTAATTAACAAAACACTAAACTTGGGTACCTGATAGCGACAAATAAATAACAATAAAAAGTTAATAATGTAGAATAAGCACCTGATAAAATATTAACTAGAAAAATTGAATTCCGGAATAATTCAGTAACTTATTCATTGACATGTTCAAATTGATATCCATTTTCCCTAACATACAGTTGACAAACTTTCTTAATACTTCTTAATACAGTGAGTGGCCCAACATACTTGAAGAACTTTGTGCAACAACAGAGGCAGTTTTCCAGGAATTACAAAGACATCTTTCAATGATTAATATGTATTGAGAAAGTTTGTGATGGAAAATGGACATCATTTTGAACAATTCAATGAATAAATCACTGAATAATTTCGAAATTCAATTGTTTTAGTAAATATTCAATCAGGTGCTTATTATTCTACATTATAAACTTTTTATTACTATATATATTTGTGGATATCAGGTATCTAAGTTTTGTGAATTGCAAGTTAATTAGTGTTGAAATTGTTATTTCCCCCTTCATGGAACAATCAAAGGAAATATTCCTTCAATTGTAAATTTCTTTATATGAAAATCCCTGGAAAAACCCATAGCCCACTATTATAATTCAATGTTTTAGTGATTTTTGAAAATGTTATATTTATACATCATATATCATTTCGAAGGTGAAAAAATAAGGAATTTAATGAGCTTGTAAAATACAGGGCGTTCAATTTAAAAAATCATAAGTTTGTCGTATCTTCAAAACCACACCCCGAAAAAAAAAACTTTTGTGCGCCACTGGATTTTGCATAAAATTCTCTATGGGTTGAGATCTTAATTTGACATTTTCGCTGATAAACTTCGTAGATATAGAGAAGGTCCAAAAAGTATAAATTTTCAAAATCGCCCTGTATCTCATAAACGGAAATAGTCCTTGCGAAATCTGATCAGGCCATCTTCAGTTTCACGAAAAAGTAGCAGAGGACCGCGAAAACCGCAAGGTTCTATCTCCAAAGATAACTGAGATATCATGCAAAAGCATCGAAAACTGGACACACTGTACTAATCGAAACAATTTTTCTGTATGTGCAGGGCCAGACAGGGGCCAGCAATATTTTACAAATTTCCTTCAGAAAGACAAAACAAACTGTACATTTCCTTGTTTTGTCTTTCTGGATGACATACTCAAATATGTAAGTGGCAGGATCCTTAATAAAAAAGTTGAAAAATATTGCTGGCTCCTGTCCGGCCCTGGACGCCCGGATTGAATATTCTGATACTGTACATTTCTTTGCTTTGTCTTTCTGAATGGCGTTCTGAAATATGTAAGTGGCAGGATCCCTAATAAAAAAGTTGTAAAATATTGCTGGCCCCTGTCCAGCCCTGGACGTCCGGAAAAATTGTTCCGATTAGTACATTCCTTCCTTGATTATCCTAAATCAACATTGGAAAATTGTTGTCGCAGAATGCGTAACGAAAAAAAAATTACAAATATTGCTGAACTTTATTGCTTAAGTAACTGGGCTGTGGGGGTGGGGATGGTTCACGTTAGAATGCCTCAATGTACTCGACACCTTTGTTTCGACGTTTTTGTATATTTGGAGTACAGACACTCGACAAGCAGTACCAGTCAGACATAACCACAAATGAATAGACGAAGAGCAGGAACTAATAAGAACGTAATTATATTACATAAATCTCGAAGGTTTGTCAAAAGTGTACTGTTTATCGAGAAACCAGCTTTCAGTCAGAAATAAAATTCTGGTATGAGGAAGTTGATTACAAACAACAACAACAAAAATGCAAAATCGATCAAGTCATAAAAATAGCAACAGGGACCAATCAGTAGATGGCAAAGTTTCAATTGTATCCATTTCGTGATAAAATCATGTGTTTTTTTACTTCAATTTAAAATTTTGAAATATGTCTGCAATTTTTTATATTATGTGGAAATTCATTGAATTCAGCTAGAGCAGAGTGAGTAAATTTTTTTAGACCAATTATAGAAATAGCAGAATCAAGATGAAATAAGTTTAATTGTCTCGTGTGATATCCATGAATTTCTGAGTTTCTTATCAAAACAAAATTGGGTTTCAGATTATTGTTTATGATATTATAAACTTCAAGAGAATCTATTTTATACAATTCATCCAATGAAAATGTATTATTGCATACAGATCATTTTTTGGGATATCAAATGAGAGCCGATACAATACTTTTAGCGATTTCTTATAAAATGCAGATATCATCATTATCATTACCTTGTCCGCCGTCCATGTGCTTCATCGCGTTCTCCGCCTCGTCGGCCGTCGTGTACTCCACGTAGCAGTACAACCGGCCCAAATGCGCGTGCGTGTGATCCTTGGGGAATTCGACGTGCTTGATGACGCCATACGTGCCGAATATCTCGGCGATGTGCTCCTTGTTCACCGTACGCGTCAATCTCCCGATGTGGATCTTGGTGGGACGCGGGGTGGGGGAACGACGCCTGCGCTGTGGCTTGCGCGGAGACCTCGACCTGCAGGGCGTTCCGGATAAGAATAAGGTATGTTCATTTGTGTCCTTGGCGATGCTTAGAGTAGGCCGATATAATCACATCAATGACGTCACAAAGCAGATCGAACACTTTTGACTCAATCTCAAATATTTTTGGGATTGATAACCAATTATGAGAATTCGGAAATTGACATGAAATGTACAGACATCAAAAGTAGATCAATCCTTATTTATCTATTTATTCATTTATTTATATCCAAACAGACCTATGAGGTTACAACGAAATGCATTTAGCGTACGAATAAGTACCACGCTAAATGATCGATTAATCACGGATTGACGATCTGTGATTTATTCAGAATATTAAACACGTTACCATGGCAACACGATTTCTTAAACACGTTACCATGGCAACACAGTTCATTAAACACAGCTCCAGTAATTTGGGACATATCTGGCCTGTCAATTGTATTAACTGTCAACTGTTCCCATTCCTTTCGAATTATTTTGTAGGTTCGCAGGAATAGCAGGTATGTTAATGTTATTTTCGGAGTTCGTAGAAAAAGCATAGTATGTAACGCGTTTATAAACTCTTCTAGATACTCGTTTATCAAAAACTCGCTCCGCTCTGCTCCGCTCGTGCTTAAAATACTCGTTACTAAAAGGACGTTTATAACACTTGTTACATAATATACTATTCTGAGATGTATGGTTCTCACTGTATTATAATCTGTACGTAAGCGATATTTCTTATAATGAATAAATCTCAAAAATTTGTTTTGAATTTTTTCCAGCGAAGATAATGTGGACTGGTATTCAACAAACCAAATAAGGAAACCGTACTCCATTTTGGGTATCACCAGACTATAAAGAGTCTTCAGTGCCTCTATGCTGCATCTCTTATGCTTTCAGTTAGCCTAACTAGACCACCCTCTGAAAGAACAATAATGCAAGATTTCCAAAATATTATATTTTCTTCATTCGTTTTTGAAACATAATATTCATTACCTATTCATTAAGTCGCTCACTAAAGTGTCTAAAACGATACTAGTTGGTGAAACTCTGACCTTTTCGAAATGTTTGTAGTTTTTAATCCAATTTGCTGTTTTTGGCCATTTTTGGCTGAGTAGATTTAGCTTGATCTTTTTGATCTACAGCAATTTGCTCTACACAAACGAACACATTAAGATCAAATGCTCGACACAAATGAACATACGCATTTCTACTAGACGTGCACTATGCTTATCTAGCAACACTAACAGACCTATAAGACCTATTCGTTTGTGTTTGCTCTACCTGCTAAACTTAATTTATTTCTATGACTTTATCTGTTTACATTATGCCATGAACAGAGACAGAGCAAGTACAGCAACACGAACGAACAGACCTAAAGAGTGTGATGCTCAAAGTAACTAGTTGAAAAGTTATTATAAATTTATTTTGCTCATGTTTACTGCGGAAAAGGCATCACCTGCGGTTCCCGACGGCATCTCGACCTGCAGGGCGTTCCGGATAAGAATAGAGTGTGATATGGCGTGGTGAGCAGAGCAGATCCTGTTCACAGAGGGTAAGTTCGGTATTTATGTCGGAGCGCTCAGATTAGTTGTTTTGTTCCTTTATTCCAAACGAGGAGAGGGCAGGTGAATCTCAACCGTTCGACAATTGAAATTGGAGCGATCCAACATTAATCTTCATGAATTTTCGACCGAGCGAATCGATGAATCTGAATGTGTGAGGTTAAGTGTTGAATTATTGTTTATCCTCCATCTTCATAGTCTTCAAAACATAACTTGAAATCCTCCTTCAATACAGCAGGAGGAGAACTCACAAGTTTGTTATTGAATCTACTCCAAAAAAAAAAAATCACAAAAACAAGGATACTTTTGACAGTTCTGTCTGTGATAGCGATCAAAACCGTTCGTTTATTCCGATTTATATCACCCACTTGATTTTGATATATTGTGATATGTTTTCATATGTATTGAATAAAATTATACCCCCTTTGTTTATATCAATGAACTCAATACAACTGGAAGGGATACGCCCGCTCTCTCGAATAGCACAAAGTGTGTCAGGGGCAGCTGCAACAGAGATAGCATGATTTACGGATACCTGTCCTCTTCCAACTCGTGTTGTTTAATGGTGGATTGGTGTATACATTTTCTTTTATCTAATAATTAAAGTAGCTAGGAATTTTTTCTCTCATCTACACAGGCAAGAAAGTGAAGACATAAGTTCATTGTCTTCGTTTATGCTAAATACGAGGTGAAATATCTATTCATTTGGCGTGTTTTGTTGTATCAAAAGGACTGAATTTGTTGTTGTGAACACTGATGAACTGATTGTTGAGAAGGTTTGTGATTAATATTGATAAACAATGGTGATTTATTGTGTCGCCTTTGGATGCAAGAACGAACAAAATAAAAGGGAATGGGCATTCCATGGGTAAGTTGAATATTGTTCTCAGATTTTTGAAAAATATAGTTCTTGAAATGATCATCCAGTTAGGTATACAATGTTCCCAGTCTCAGAATATGTTCAAAAACTATACCTATATTATTTGTCAAAGGTAAATACTTCCATATTGATATTGAGTAATATTATTTGTTGCAGCTTTCCATTCAAAAGACCAGACATTCTCGAATTATGGATAAAGGCAGTTCGTAGAGAGAATTGGACTCCAAATAGAAGCAGCAAGCTCTGTGGGGAGCATTTCCTGACAACAGATTATTTAGGCATACCAAGTACAGCTAGGTTTTTTAAAGCAGATGCTGTACCCAGTATATTTTTTATTTCCTCAGCATTTGTTACCAAAAAATGCTGATTCCCCCAGGAAAATAAGAAAACTCATAGGTACCTAGTTGATTAATAATGAAAAAAAAGTATGTTTTCACCTCATTAAAATAAAAAAAAAAACTAGCTATTAATTTGTTTTCAGGATGCATCTATGGACGCTCATAACTTAGGTCCAAAGGAAGAAGTTTCCCATTTTATTGACTTTGACTTGCCTACCACTTCTAGCTCCCAAGTTTCGAGGTTTATCAATAAAATATATTGTATTGAGGAGGAAAGTGAAGACACTGAGACAAAACGTAATAAGGAGAGACCTAAAAATTTCAAATATGACAGAAGAAGGAAGAAGGAATAGGAACCTATGGAAATTATGCTCAAAATGCACTCAATACCATTCAATAACCTCTTTTCAAATTTTTCCTATCGTTTTTCTTTTCCTTCTGATAGTTCTGAGACATTGTGCTTCGCTCACCCTGTACAATATATTGTGACATTTGAATAAAAATAAATATATAATTTCAATTTTGTATTCATTTGACTTCCCATCCTGTGAGAGTGAGATTGAAATTTAATTTCAAAGTCAATAAAAAAATCAGTAATAATTTTTTAATGATAGTTGATTACAACATTATCCTTTTTCCTAAATGAATATTTTTATTTAATCACGTTTACTTTCAAATAGAAGCAAAAAACGAGAAAATATTTCAAATTATGCGAGCGCTTCCCATTAACCAACACAAGATAGAGAGAGATAGGTATCCGTAAACACTGCGGGTTGCCTGACAAATATTTTTGCCTCACTCGTCGTTCACAGTGGGTCCCTTCCAGTTGTATTGAGTTCATTGGTTTATATCCACACATTACAATCACTACATGTTGTACCTAGTACATTATTAATTTTTAAGCAACTTGTAATATGTCCAATCCGTGCTTGATGACACCGTACGTGTCGAACTGTCGAATATCTCGGCGATGTGCTCCTTATTCACTGTGCGCGTCAATCTCCCGATGTGCATCTTGGTGGGATGCGGTATGGGCGAACGGCGCCTGCCCTAGAGGGCGTTCCAAATAAGAACAGAGTGTGATGCTCAGAGTAATTGAAACGAGTTATTGAATTTATTTTGCTCATGTTTAATGCGGATAAGGCATCACCTGCGGTTTGCGCGGTGATCTCGACCTGCAGGGCGTTCCGGATAAGAATAGGGTGTGATGTAACGTGGTGAGTAGAGCAAATCCTGTTTACAGAAGGTAAGTTCGGTATTCATGTCGGAGCGCTCAGATTAGTTGTTTCGTTCCTTTATTCCAAACGATGAGAGGGCAGATGAATCTCGATCTTTTGGCAATGGGCCTGTTTGCCTGTTTCAGTAAAAAATTATATTTCATATTTTGAAGAACTAATTCTAACTAGTTCACTTTCGCAAACCGTTTTTCCCCAGGGCTTTGTACATTTTTAGAATAATTATTGAAATTCACCATATTTCGTAACATGAAAAACGCGGGAAAACGAAAAAATTCGACATATTCCCCGTTTTGTAAGACAAGTGTAAGAATATTTCTGATTGTCTTTTCAATCAAAATATGAAAGAAGTTCTCCCCCTCAGAAAATGCTCGCCCTAGACTCTAGCGAATTTTCTGAACTGAATAATTACTGCAGATAACAGAGAATACAACACACAACTGAAGAATCAGATAAGAGGATCTTTGAATATTCGCATCTTGACTAGACGAAACAAGGATGAAGATGAAGGTAACAGAAGAAATTGACGTTAGGAAGTTAGGTTAACAATGTAATTTGTCTACTTCTTCTCTTCTTGTATTTCAGGGAACTCTAGGCATTATGCTGTTGCCAGAGCCACATAATAATTTGGGTTTAAATAAAATCTCGACCATCATTAGCAATACTAGAATATTTTTATTGCTACTCAAGCATCTTGCTAGTATATAAGTATTCAATAAGTGATTATTAGGGACCAGGTCGAACTATTGTCTTCTGTGAATGTGAATACTGTTGTCATTAGTCATATTGAATCTCATAAGGTAATTACCAGTTACAAATCTGGCAGCGTCAAAATATGTGGTCGTACTTTTTATGCATAAGCCAAAATTCAGATAACTTTCTGTTCGGTTTGTTCATGAAGTTATCGAAGCTGACGTTTTTCGAAGGTGCCGAATTTCATTATTGAAAAACATATATATTCAATAATTTTAAATAATGAACAATTGCATCAAATACTATTTATACATTTAATGATCAATATGAGATAGGTATGTGGTATAAATTCAACTAGTGTGTAGAGTACAACCCCATTAAAATCGGAGCGATCCGACAATTATGTTTTATGTTTGCCATTGTTTTTATAACTTTTTAATTGATCTTATTATTTATATATTTATTCATGTGATTTTTTTCAAATTATTTTATTGATACTTGTCATTTTTTATCATATCATATACGTTTGTCATGTAATTCTTTGATATATATTACAGATACTAATTATTTTTATCACATTTTCAAAATTACCACTATATTGTATTTTAATATGTTAGTATTTATACTTTACTGTGCTACTTTTCCCTTGCCCTGCTGACCTGCTATAAACATACTTGTATGTAACATAGTTAAATAAACTCTATCTATCTATCTAATCTTGGGAGAGGGGGTGCATTTAAGGACAAATGTTTATATAAAGAAAAAGTAATATTCTGATCCAAACAATATGTCCCTGAAATATTTACATCGAATTTTGAATCACCCTGTATATTGAATTTTCATCTGATACACTTAGATTTAATGATTAAGATCAAAATTACATAATTATTATGATTGAGATGAAGAGCCACAATAAATTGATAAACAGAATGAATATTATTAAGAAAATTAAATTGATTTGGAACAAATTTTGAATAAAAGATACTTGATAATCAAACATTTCAAGAACATTCAAAAATTCAAGGTTTACTAGTAAAAAATGAGAAGAATTTAGGAAACACATATAAGATAACATAGAGAGTTGGAAACTGAATTGAAACAAAAAATTCATCCCAGAATATAGAAAAATTGGCAACTACTATCTTTAAAAAACATGATATATCTTCAGAAGGATACAAGAAAACTGAAAATGCAAATCAGACAATTTTGAGTGAAAAAAATAATAGTTATTTGTTTTACTAGGTAGCAAAGTAGTATATTGACTGCCACATATGATAGTTCATAGTGGAGCATAGTGAGGTTAGGAATTCAGCCAAGGCAATCAATGTACATTTGCTGCAGGGTTAAACATATAATTGTTTTTCCAAATGTTATAAAACCAATTTTGTGTATTTTTTTATTGAAAACTCCATCATTTTGTGATCACCCAATGTCACTGTGGATTTTGATTAAGTGTCAGAAGAAAGCCACTTTCTAAGCAGCTTGAATAAAATGACAAATCAAAAAATTCAATAGTGAAGTTGCTATTTATGAGCATGACATAATATATCTAGGAATTGAAAATTCAATGTTAATTACCTTGGTAATTAGTCACTTTTAGCATCAATTTATTCTCACTCAAACTCAACAATCAAGAATAATTCATGAATAAAGGTGGATTTATGCAGACATTTAACAGTTATCAAATAACATTCATCATTTAACAAATAGCAATTAAAAGTTGAACGTTCTGTTTTCAATGAAAGTGTTCATGCAGACATTTAACAATTATCAATTTATAAGTAACAAGTAAGAAGTTGGCCAACTTTCAACTTTCTTACTTTGATTGAACCAGGTTTTCTTCTCTAGCTAAATGGGTAGAGAAAACATGGATTGGTCAGACCTGATATCTGACAGATGTTATGAAATTTGGTTCAACATAAAACAATTGCAATCAACAGAATAATTGTGAATAAAAGTAACCCAGTCTCTTCCAGATCAGGAAACATTATGAAATTCGAAATTTCAGCTCCTTATGTGAATTGTAAACAAGGAATTTGTAAGGTCATTTCTTTGTAGCTCATATTTAGGGCATGTGTGCTTGCCTACTATTAATTCATCAATTGTTAATTTGGTTTATCATCACTTGTTAATTGATTAATGTTACTTGATAATTGTTAAATTTGCTGCATAAGTCCACCTGAACCTTATACCAGTTGGTACTATACAAATACTTCAATATTATTTGTTGTTTGAATCATATTCAATGTGATCACAGGAATAAACTGGAATAAATGATTGATTGAATAAAAATATATGATCATTGAAGAATTTTCAAGTAGCAAACTATTCAAGATCTAACAACATGAAAGGGGTACTTCATGGATACCTCACTATGTATGTATGTTTAAGGTGAATAATAAAAGAATAATTGTGATATGAATCATTGAAAAGGGCTATTACACAAAGATTATATTGTTTCTATCATTAAAAACTGAAAATGCTTGTTTACTAACCTGGATCTAGTATGAATGTGATTCTTATCATCCTTTTCCTTATCCTTGACAGGAGATGAGATTTTTTTATCTTTGTCCTTCTCCTCTTTCTTAGCATTAACCTTTTCTTTATCCTTATCATCTTTTTTGTCCTTATCCTTTTCTTTTTCCTTCTCCTTGTGATCCTTGCTTTTACTCACAGGCTTAGTAGCAGACCTAGACCTGAAAAATTGATATTCATAATCAGTACTAACATGTATTTGTGGACCTAGGGTTATTACATGTACCTTCTTTTTGGTCTGGTTCTTTCATTGTTGCTACTGGATGAAGATGATTCTGAGGAGGAACTGCTTGATCTAGTGGTAGTTCCAGAACTAGAACTGCTAGATGAGCTAGATGAACTGCTCTCTGATGAACTGAAATTGATAATTTTTAGATAATATTTAATGTAAGTTATCAAAAGAAACCGTCTACATACCTGCTTCTGCTTGCACTACTGCTAGACCCAGATGCTGAACGTTTTTTCTGATCTCTTCCTCTTTCTTTCTTTTTGTCCTTTTTGTCAACCTCAGAATCAGTACCTGGTTTAGCCCTGAGAATGAAGTAAAAGGAATAAGGTATATTTTTTATGGGTGATATAATAATGTAGGAACCCAATGAGGAAACAAATTGAAAAGAGTTTTGGAGATAGCTTCAACACTTACATTTATAACAAACTTCTGCGAAGTATCACAAAGTACAACTGTGGAAATATTTGATAATGTCTCAAAGTTCTATATGGACAATAATTGATTGAATTGTTTGATTAACAACAAATTAAAAAAATTACTCTAGCACACCACCACAAGAGAATTAATAGTAGTAAACAGAACACAGGACAGAAAATAAGATGCCGATTCCCGATGCTAACCAACAGTCAAATGTCAAATCTGTCATAGAAATCATGTCCAACTAAGTTTTTGTTCCATGTCATATGTCAAAGTCGAGTGTCCTGTAGATTCCATTTTCCATTTCATTCTTCCATCTTCCCTTCCGATTTCCGTTTCTTTCGTTTCTGCCTGTTTTCAAAAGTAACCGTTTTCCCTCTTTTCAAAATTGTTTGTGTTGAAAATGTTTTCAGAATTAAGACTTTACTGCTGGAACTAGAGGAGTGTGAACTGTGTAGTACCACTGAACTAAGTATACCCTACTGTGATGGTGATGTCGAGGACCCCCCGCCTGGATCCTCCTCCGACCTATACAATAAATATTGATCAATAAATAATTATATTTCATATATCATTCATCAGTCATCATATATGAAGTTTCATTTTATTTATATTTCGAAATGAGTCATAATTAAAGTTTACAAGCTCGGTTACAATGAAACTCAAGTTTCATGTCTTATAGGCATGATAGGAGATGAGGGTATATATACACTGGACAACTTTTCTTTATGGCTTTCAAGACTGATTGTGACTGAAACTTTTAAGACTTTATGACTTATGACAAAGTGTATCAAGACAAGTCAAGACTAATGATTCTAATGACAATAAGTTTATGAGCATTGCAACTGAAAATAAATATCTTATGACCTTCATCCCATCACACAAAACCACCATGAATACCTATATACCCATTGTCGATCTAAATGAAAATCTAGTAAGAGACCTAGTGTGAGGAGGTATTATAGCTCCTGCCTACTAACTACCTAACTAGGTTGTCATCTAGAACGACAATGACCTACCACTTCTGGTTATATATCCTATATATGATTCCACATGAATATAATCATAGTTATTTATTATACAAGGGAAAAAAGTAGTAGATTTTAGCTCCAGGTTGTGTTGTCTCCCGACGCGTAGCGGAGGGAGACAAAAAACCGCGAGCTAAAATCTAATATTTTTCCCGTGTATAATACACTATTTTTTTCTGTGACAGAAGGTAGGACGAATCAATATCGAGAAGATATTACATTATTTCGAAATCTGAAAATTATCGACGTGAAATTTCAAGTTTTTAACAGTAGGGACACCTGCGTTTTATAGACATCTTTATCATTATTTTGAAGTAATCAAATATCTGATGTCACTTCTGTCAGTTCAATTCTGTGATTTGATTTTGAAAAATTGCGAATTCAGTAGTTGTTTAGTAATATACGAAACCGCGAAGTCGAATGGAAGAAAGGACTTGCAGTTCTTTCTCGGAGACGGTATTATTGACTCATTTTTCGGAACTATAGCACAACAAAAGTTATTAACAGAGTATATATATATGTGATATATATCCGGGGAAAAAAGTACTCACTTTTTTCCCACGGGAAAAAAGTAATTTATGAAAAGTGACATTTTATAACCTGCCAACAGAGATGAAATGCCAAACTTTTTTCCCGTCACAGAAAAAACATAATTATTGTTATGTAAGCTATAGATATCTGGCATGAATTGAATGAATCAACATGATAAAACTTCATTGTTCTTTATTATCTTCAAAGCGTTTAAATTTGGCAATATTATTGTATATAAAAAATTACATTTTTCATGAGTATATAGTTATCACACATCACACATCTTCAACAATGAATATCACATTATTAGGTCATACAATAATTTCCTTTCCTTTCTCTAGCTCAGCCTTAGTTTCCAGCGGTTTGAATTCATTTCCATCTATGATCGTCTCTTGTGCAGAATTGAATTTCTATGATTTTTCTGTCTCAAATATCAAATAAAAACGGCACCGAACACGAGAGTGACCACTATATCTTCGTGGACCCCAACCAACCGCCTAATAAGGAAGACAGAGTATTGGCCAGGCCGCAGATTATTCCAGAAAAATTGGGCGCTATATCTATAATCCATTATTGGATATAAAACAGCGGCAGTGACTGCGCGGTTGAAAAATCGTGAATAACATTTAACATTTTGGAATTAAGTCATAGTCACAATCACAAGTTCCCATTTTGCAACTTATTACTAAAACTATTGCATAAATCCACCATGAATCGCCCACTTATACTGATCCCACTTATGATCCAACTGCTGACTGCTGGTTATATCCCATTGTCGGAGTTTTATCTACCTCGTCCTCGAGACTTTTCGTATGGGAAACCGTGAAAACTTCCTTCCGATGGATAAGACTCCATATATCGGGCATGATAGGTTTGACAAATACGTTAGATTAGACAAATGGTTACCCAACTTGCGGCTTTTTACCAGAGAAAAAAAACTCTGACAGATACGAGACAAACCAAACTCTTATCTGGCAACCTGAATGTCATCATGCTAGTTGTACAGGGTATTAACTAGCATGATCGCCATTCGGCGACATTCCCTCTAGCGTATTTGTCAATCTTATCATGCCCTATATGGAGTTTTATCCATCGGAAGGAAGTTTTCACGGTTTCCCGTACGAAGTCTCAGGACGAGGAAGATAACTTCGACATGGCGCCCAACGTGGGGTTTTTAACAGAAAAAAACCCTGACAGATACGAGACAAACCAAACTCATATCTGGCAACCTGAATGTCATCATGATAGTGGTACAGGATACTTTTTACCCGCAAAACTATCATGATCGCCACTCGGCGACACTATGATTCCACATAAATATATAATCAACATATTGTTATGTAAGCTGGCATAAATTAAATGGATCAAAATGATAAAAACTTCATTGTTCTTTTTTATCTTCAAATCGTTTATATTTGGCAGTACTTTATATAAAAAATTACATTTTCAACAATAAATATCTCATTAGGTCATGCAATAATTTCCTTTTCTTTCTCTAGCTCAGCCTTAGTTTTCAGCGGTTTCATTTCTTTTCCATCTAAGATCGTCTCTTGTACAGAATTGAACTTCTGCAATTTTCCCGTCCCAAATATCAAATAGAAAACGGCACCGAAAACGTACGTTCCCACCAAAAAACCAGAAAATGTACCTCCATCTATCGAAAGTACGGTTATTCTCTGTGAGAATGGCCACTATCTTCGTGGACACCCAACCACCTAAGGAAGACAAAGTATTGGCCAGGCCAACGATTGTCCCAGAAAAATTGGGCGCTATATCTATAATCCATTATTGGATAAGTAATAGCGGCAGTGACTGCGCGGTTGAAAAACAATCATGAATAACATTCAACATTTTGGAACTAAAACATTTTCGAATTGAGTCATAGTTACAAGTTCCAAGTTTAAAGAGATGAATATTATGGGCAACATTCGAGGAGACTTTCTGAGACTTAAAAAATACTTTTGTGACTGAAATATCAAGACTAATGACAAAGTTAATAAGAATTGCAACTTATTACTGAAACTGTTGCATAAATCCACCATGAATCCCACTTCTGGTCCACTTCCGATCCAACTGCTGTCGACTGCTGGTTATATTCTATTGTCGAAGTTTATCTTCCTTGTCCTGAGACTTTTCGTATGTGAAACCGTGAAAACTTCCTTCCGATGGGTGAGACTCCATATAGGGAATCATAGGATTGACAAAATTTCCTAGATTAGACAAAGGGTTACCCAACTTGCGCCTTTTGAACAGAAAAAAAACCCTGACAGATACGAGAAAAACCAACCTGGCAACCTGAATGTCATCATGCTAGTGTACAGGGTACTTTTTAACCGCACAATTAGCACGGTTTCCCATACGCAGAGATTATACACTCCCCTAGATAGGCAACGCCCGTGTTAAAACTGGCCGCGCTCGGAATGGAGCCACAAATCCAGTTTCGTTCCCGCTATTTGGAGCCCTTCGAAATTCATTCATGAAAATCGTCGCGTATCTACCGAACACTACCGAGTCCCCGACCAGTCCCGACTCACAAAATGCGTGTATGCCAAATCTTCTTTGGAACTCTCGACGTGTCTCGAACCACTCGAACCAAATACAACTACCGCTCGACCGTCCCTTCCCCCACGCTCGACCATCCCTTCCCCCTTGCCACCCTTGCTCGACCTTTCGCCACTTCGCACACGTGCCGCCTATCCCTTCATCTCTAGAGCAGGTATAATTTTTAAATCTGGAGTCTGGAGGTGCCTGGAGGCTGGACATATCTTGCCATTTTATTACTTATTAATGAATTATTGTTGTTGTATGTGATTTCGATGCGATTGTTCTCTTTTATTTCTCATTATTGTGTTTACCTATCTGGTTATTACTGTATTGTACTCTGTGACCAGATATTCTCTGCTTTGACGATCATGAATCGCCCTGAGGACCACCGTAGTGGAAATAAATGTAGTTTTTTCAATTGTGGAATATGCCAAAGAGACGATGAAACTTTACAAATGTTTCGTGTTCCTAGTGATACTCGTGCCGAACAGTGGATTTTAAATTGTGGTTAGTTGTAAGTTTTTTAGTACTTTTTTTCAACAAACCTCAAGTTATAACAGAGAGAGTTATTGTTTTTTTTTTCCTGAAGTAGGTATGCTTAGAAGGGGTTGAAATATTCAACCCCTAAGACATTTTTTCTTACAACTTTTCTTGGATGAAAAATTTTCTTTCAAAAAGATGTCAAATTCTTCGAAGTTTTGGAAATTACTTTTAGAAAAAAAAGTTAGTAAATAAATTTTCAGCCATGTTTTTTCAAAATTTCATCCAATAAAATAGTTGTAAAAAATATCAAGAGGTTGAATTAATATTTCAAACCCTTCTATTAAGCATACTTTATATATAGGGTTGAAAACATTAATGACAAAATAAATAATATTAACCAAGTTTCGTATCTTACAGGAAAAATAAAAATGAAACGAAAAAAAAAATGTTTCATCAACATCGGAGGGGTGTAACTTTTCCGGGGAGAGGTTTATCAAAAATCACCCCTTATATATTTTTTTGGTGTTATTTAGATACACCCTGTATAGGTGTTTGAATATATAAAAGAACATCCTAGATACATTGAGAATAACAAATAATTATTTGAAATGACCTTTTGTTATATACAGTGGTGTCCCACTTATTTGAGCAGCCTCGCCCTTGTATTTTCTAATTCGTTTTCCGATTCGATTTTTTCCCAAAAGAATGCGATTTCCATTTTTTGGTACCTACCTATTCCATTTTCACATTGCACTATTACTGGACGATAGAAAATGCGAAACGATCAATTATTGATATCATGCTTTTTTTAAGCAAAAAACTGAAAACATTACAGCACTTCAAATAATCTCTAGAATATAATATACAGTGTCTTCAGAAAGTTTGTGTCTATTTAGATTTTACACATTTGTTCCAAGTTTGAACGCATTTTCTGGGGTGTGTATAATTGGCGGACTGGAAAAAATGCTGCGGACTGGCTTTTTCCAGTAAACAAATCGTTGTTTTCATTTCATATCTGGATTGAGCTCATTGACCTAAACGATAAAAAGTTTACGAAATTTTTTCCCAGCCCCCCTGGGAGCACTTTACTCGTTTATTTTTTCGTAAAATCTTGCGGACTGGGTATTTTTAACAATAAAATCATCTCAATTTTCTCAAAAATCGATTCATCCCATTAGCTTACACGATGAATAGTTTTTAAAGTTTCTCCCTAGCCCCCCTGGGGAGCACTTTACTCGTGTGTTTTTTCATAAAATCTTGTGGGCTGGGTATTTTTACCAGTCAAGTCATCTCAATTTTCTCAAAAATCGATTTATCTCACAAAAATACAGGTTTAAAATTTTTTTAAAATTTTTCGCAAGCCTTCATGGGGAGCACTTTACTCGTTCGTTTTTTCATAAAATCTTGCGAACTGGGTACTTTTGTGAGTCAAATCATCTCAATATTCTCAAAAATCGATTTATTCCATGAGCATACACGATGAGTAGTTTCTAAACTTTTTCCCTAGCCCCCCGGGGAGCACTTTACTCGTGTGTTTTTTTCATAAAATCTTGCGGACGCTGATGAGGCGTCATTTGAATAAGCAAAATAGGGTACAAAAAAAACATCCTATCATAGATGAGAGAGAGAGAGAGAGAACACCAATTCCTACCTTATTTCCCTTGGTTCTCACGATGTTCTCTGAACATTACAGGCTCGATTACAGGATTTCCCTTTTCGTGGGAACCAGAACATAAAAAATGTATAACATCAAAACAAAAATAAATAAATTTGGTAACAACAGAAATAATATCACATTTTTCAGTATTGTCAGTATCGCATATTTGAAATATGAAAATGTAAACATACCGGAAGATTTTATGAAAAAACACACGAGTAAAGTGCTCCCCAGGGGGGCTAGAAAAAAATTTCGGGAAACTTTTCATCGTGTATTTTCATGAGATAAATCTATTTTTGGTAAAATTGATTTGACTTGCGAAAAAACCCAGTCCGCAAGATTTTATTAAAAAACACACGATTAAAGTGCTCCCCAGGGAGGTCAGTGAAAAAATCAGAAACTTTTTATCGTGTAGTTCAATAAACTGAATCCAGATATGCAATTAAAACAACGATTTATTTGCTGGAAATAGCCAGTCCGCAAATTATACACACCCCAATTTCTGTAATTTGAAAGTTGTTACTTCGACAAAACTGTTTCATACCAGAAAATTTAAAAATACCAAAAACTAAATGTTGCAATAGAACATTCGAATTTGAGAGGAATGTGTAAAATCGGGAAAGAAATAATTTCGCGTAGTGAATGTTTTTGAAATTCAAACGAGTAAGCGTACTTTAAATGATTGATTTGAAAAATTCTTACTTTTAACATCTAGTGAAAGTCACGTGACTCCGACCTAGCCAGCCATTTTAGATATATGTTACTTAAATCTCTTTATTTTCATATTTGAGACTTTTTCTGAAATAAATACCAAGTGATTCGAAAGTTTTCTTTTACATTTGTTTCTCACACCTACCTATTACACTTAAACTATAAGCTTGGGCATGTTTTGAATGTGTATGACACTATATTCATCGTTTGAAGTAATTGTATGTACCTAATTTGGTGTTTTCAGCTTTCATTCATAACCACAGGAGTAATTAAATATTTCGTGCATAGAAACATTTGTTCTTTTCCGAAAATGATCAATGAATAGATGAATTTGTTTGTGGAATAGAATCGGATCATAATTACAAAACTCGTCTCCAAATTGGTTCTGCCATCTTGAATTTACTAATTTGTACGGAAGAATCATAATCTCCGACCCCGAAAACTCCCAAATACAAATTCTGAATAGAATCGGATCATAATTACAAAACTCGTCCGCCATCTTGTATTTCCTAATTTTCATGAAAGAATCATAATCTCCGACCCCGCGAAAACCTTCAGATACATTTTTAATAGAATCGGATCATAATTACAAAACTAGTCCGCCATATATTGGTTCCGCCATCTTGTTTTTCCTGATTTTGACTGAAGAATCATAATCTTCGACCCCGAAAACCTTCAGGTATCAATTTTGAATAGAATCGGATCATAACTACAAAACTCATCCGCCATCTTGAATTTCCTAATTTTGACGAAAGAATCATAATCTTCGACCCCGAAAGCCCCCAGATACAAATTTTGAAGATAATCAAATCATAATTACGAAACTCGTCCGCCCTATATTGGTTCCGCCATCTTGTATTTCCTTATTTTGACCAAAGGATCATAATCTTCGACCCCAAAAACCTCCAGATACCAATTTTGAATAGAATCGGATCATAATATTAAAAAAACTTGTCCGCCATATTGGTTCCGCCATCTTTAACTCTCTAATTTTGTCGAAAGAATCATAATCTCCGACCCCGCAAACCCCCAGATACAAATATTGAATAGAATCGGATCATAACTACAAAACTCGTCCGCCATCTTGAATTTCCTAATTTTGACAAAAGAATCATAATCCTCGACCCCGAAAACCCCCAGATACAAATTTTGAAGATAATCAAATCATAATTACGAGACTCGTCCGCCATATATTGGTTCCGCCATCTTGTATTTCCTTATTTTGACCAAAGGATCATAATCTTCGGCCCCAAAAACCTCCAGATACCAATTTTGAATAGAATCGGATCATAATATTAAAAAAACTTGTGCGCCATATTGGTTCCGCCATCTTTAACTCTCTAATTTTGTCGAAAGAATCATAATCTCCGACCCCGCAAACCCTCAGATACAAATATTGAATAGAATCGGATCATGATTACATGATCGTCCGTCATATCGGATCCGCCATCTTGAATTTTCTAATTTTCACGAATTTTAATACTTTTTAATATCCCATTCCGGACTAAGAGAAATCCGAAAATAATCAAATATATTGGACTTACTTTTATATAGATAATTAATGTACCTAGATAATTCGTAATTTTGAAATATAAATTAATTATTATTCGTATTTCATAAATAAATGTCAATATTTTCAAGTAGTCACGGCGTAAATCCAAACTCTCCTTGAAAATAATCATCGTCTCGGCTGGTCTCGGTCATCTCAGATATAATAAATTAGCACTACCAATATAGTAGGAGTCTTGGCAACGATGTAAATACCAGTGAATGGACGTAGTAAATATCGATTTTACTACAGCTTCAATATTCTATCCACGATAGACAGCGACATCTGTTGAAACACATTCACAACTCGAAAGACGTTGCCTCTCATGCCATATACAGTGTTTATCTATGGTCTGTATAATCTCTGCCATACGAAAAGTCTCGGGACGAGGAAGATAAACTTCGACATGGCGCCCAAGTGGGGGCATTTTAACAAAAAAAACCTTGATAGATACGAGACAAACCAAACTCATATCTGGCAACCTGAATGTCATCATGCTAGTTGTACAGGGTACTTTTTACCCGCACAGCTAGCATGATCGCCACTCGGCGACATTCCCTCCAGCGCATTTGTCAATCCTATCATTCCATATATGAGGTCTTATCCATCGGAAGGATGTTTTCACGGTTTCCCATAAGAAAAGTTTCAGGAAGTGGAAGATAAACTTCGACATGGCGCCCAACGTGGGGTTTTCAACAGAAAAAACCCCTGACAGATACGAGACAAACCAAACTCATATCTGGCAACCTGAATGTCATCATGCTAGTTGTACAGGATACTTTTTACGTAAGCTAGATATTTGTCATAAATTGAATGAATCAACATGATGAAACTTCATTGTTCTTTATTATCTTCAAATCGTTTATATTTGGCAGTACTTTATATAAAAAATTACATTTTTTATGAATACTTATCACACATGTTCAACAATAAATATCACATTAGGTCATGCAATAATTTCCTTCTCTTTCTCTAGCTCAGCCTTAGTTTTCAGCGGTTTCAATTCTTTTCCATCTAAGATCGTCTCTTGTACAGAATTGTACTTCTGTAATTTTCCCGTCCCAAATATCAAATAGAAAACGGCACCGAACACGTACGTTCCCACCAAAATCCAGAAAATGTACCTCCATCTATCGAAAGTACGGTTATTCTCTGTGAGAATGGCCACTATTTTCGTGGACACCCAACCACCTAAGGAAGACAGAGTATTGGCCAGGCCGAAGATTGTCCCGGAAAAATTGGGCGCTATATCTAATCCATTAGATAAGTAACCGGCCGTTACTGCGCCATTGAAGAACAACCCGCCTGTGAATACTGCTACCGACAGGCCCACGTTTCGTCCCCAAATGGCCTGGATTATCATCATGAATCCGGGCACCAGTAGCGCGAAAGTCGTGAACATCTTTCTGATCACTGTGGTGGAAAGTCTTCCAGATTTGCGCATCCTGTCTGCAATATAACTTGCTATGATTGCCATAGCATATTTAGCTGAAACAAATAGCCAAAATCAGGATAAATGGTAATGACAACAAAACAAGTTGGGAAAAATCTAGTACACACCATTACTTAATTTGACCAACGGCTGAAACACTTGAAAAAAAATGTCAGTATCAGGGTGTATCTAAATAACACAAAAAAAAATCATGGGGCGATTTCTTGTGATATTTTAGGAAATAAAGTTCATATGAATATATGTGTCCTAACTTGCTTCGATTTCGAGATACAGGGTATTAATATTTTCATGAAAAATCGTTTTTTATTCATTACTCAATTGTCTTTCCATCAATTTAAATAAAACGTTGTGGTTTTGTTGATAGTAATACGGAGCTTCTTCTGGTGCAATTAGATTCGAAATAATATTTCCAGTGGCGCCACAGTGAGTAAATTTATCGATATTTATGGTGAATGTCATTGTTCGCCACCGGTTTTTTTGAGTTTCATATTTTTATTAGATTGAACTATTGAAATAACAACTTTTTTATCCTTTGTGTGAATTTAGTATCAAGCTCAGCTTTTGAGGAAACAATGAAAATTCGATTTGACTCTGACTGAAATTTTAATGTAGATATCGTCGCCTCAGAGCAACAGTAGGACATGTGAAAAAAATGGGCTTTCGGGGTTATTGAAGTTTTTGAATCATAAACTATACCTCGGCATCTAGTAGAATACTGAGACAAGCCTTATGACGTCATGATATATTTTATTTTTAACATAACTTTTTGTTACACAAGTTCCCATTTCGATATCGAGTTGATGCAACAGTAGGTTATGATAACATATCCTGCTGTAGCACTGAGATTCTGGCGCGAGTGCATTAGTTATCCATGGTTATCCTAAGGTTGCTCTATCGCCCAGCTTCGATACTTGAACAACATGTCTATTCCAGTTTAGTATTCTGGAAGCGATTGAACTGATAGCAACGTCTTCAAAATATTTCAGTTTCTGTTGGTCTCAGTGAATATTCACACAAATATGCACCCATCAGAGATTTAAATTAAGAAAAAACCCGAACACAACGCCGGGAAGTTGCATTAATTCCAGCCTACAACAACCCACCGCCTATACTAAATAATAAGAGGAATGATCTGATCAGCTTGTGTGATCTGAATTTGATACCAAAAACGCATCACCAGTTTTTTTTAACTCTGAAAGGACCAACAACTGATGATAATAATGATTATGATCATGAATCTGGTTCAGTTATTCTGTATGCGTCTGTTTTTCGTTAAATAAACCATTTTTCTACTATTTACCAATTATTTTTTGTGATAAGCTCATTTCCCCAATGTATTTGATTTGAATCAGTGAAAAATATGGAACAAGATGAAATCAATCACTTTTGCAGGATGATGTCCTAGTCAAAATGCTGATTATTCCTGAGGAACACTAAGTCAAGATATAAATTCATTTCGATATCCTATAAAATCTCATGCATTTCTATAGCAACAGTAAGACAAGTGGATATAATTATTTCCCAGCTGTTCTTATTGATTTCGAATCAGCATCATTTGGAATATACTTGGAAGTTCAAAAAGTGTCCAAAATTTCACTGAGATGCGTTTACTAGATCCTGACATATGTGGGATTGAAGTTATCATGAAAACTTAAAATCGAATTTACTCGAAACTTAGATTTTGTTGATGTCCTACTGTTGCTCTGAAATTTTAGGGCTTCCTCAGTCTTCAACCATACTGAAATTTTGGCACCATGAAAGTTTATACAGGCCGGGGGATTATAAATAAAAACAATAATTACAACTTCAACATCCTGTATCTCAAAAACGGAGCAAGTTAGGATACATGTTTATGTAAACTTTATTTCCTAGAGTAACACAAGAAATCACCCCTTGAATTTTTTCGGTGTTATTCAGATACATACAGGGTGTTCCTTAAAAACATGCTAATATTCAAGGGGGTGATCCTTTAACTTATTTTAAGAAAAAACTTCCTACTGACGTATGTCCTAAAAGTCGTTACTTTTGAGATACAGGGTGATAAAGTTTTGAAAACATAGTACATTGTTTTATTAGGATCAAATGTGCCACTTTGTTTGACAATAAGCGATATTTGAGTTTGCGAGGCGAGCGACAAAGTCATCTTTGATCCGAATGAAACATGCTATTTTTCCTGCAATCGAAATAATTGATATATAATTATCGAAATATAAGAGATGCCACTATTTTGAGTCACTTGAGCGTGTCAGTGTCAAAGCAGCTATCACATCAGCTGTCATGACCATCAGACACGTATTTAGTTCCAAGGAGATAAACTTCAACTTTAGCTCCTAGACACTAAAATTGTTGCCTAGCAACATACATACTAATCATTTTATTGTCAGTCAGAGAAACGTCAACTTCAAGAGCTACTTATCTCTGGCATCATGGTGCAATTTTTGATGTATACAATTTTTTCTTTTCTCTACCAGTGATGATGGATGATTTTTTTTAAAATACTGGTCTCCTATAGAAAATCGAGGGAGAGTTGATTTATGGACATATAGTGTATGATCTATTTGAAAATGAACAGTTGGTACTCACTTTCGGCACCCCCTGTGTAAGCAGTAAGATACGTAATATTTTAGGATATTTTAGCTATGATCTTTAAAAGGTTTTATTTCAACTATGAGTTGAAAAACTGCTCATACATATAAATGATATTAATCAAATGAATATGTATTGAATGGTATTGATATCATGTATTTGTTTTAATTAGAATTTTGGATCAAGGCAAACCAGGATTGAACAAAACCGATAATATGAGAATAATTAATATGTTAGAAATTCGCATTGGTATATCTTTGTTATAGATGTATTTAACGTGAATAAAATAATGAAAAAAAAGAGACAATGTAACTTTACTATTCATTTATGCAGATGTATTCGCTATTTGTTCACCATGTCTGATGCGATTTGAAATTTCACATCCTCATGTTTTATTTGGCGCTATTGACATTGATATTTTTGCGATTGTTAGATATTGATGCCAGACATTTACAATAAGTGTTAAAAATAAACCGTCTATACCGCTTATTATATGTGCAGTTCTAAAAATGACACATCTGAAAATATGTATACAGGAGTTATCGATTGAGCCCTTTTCAATGAAAATATCTTTAAGATGGCAGTATACTTCCGGTTGAACCGGAACTGACATGACTTCGTTTTTTTTAATGGAACGCCCTGTTATGTTGCATTTTTAGATTTTGTCAATGCATTACACTTGGGATTTAGTGGGAATGAGAACAGAGATATAAAGGGTGCTCAAAATAGAGATTTTTCGACTTTAGAATTTTTTGTCTCGAAACTATTCATTATTGGTCTTAACGGCTTATATGTCCCTATCTTAACTTTTGATTCGCTATCTAGTGACATTCAATTGGAACAGATACATCAGGATGATCAAAATTCTGAATCTTGTACTATCCTCGGTATTTTTTTCATCAGTAGATAGTTAATCAAAAGTTATGAGTTATATACGGATCAATTATGAATAGCTTTGACACAAAAAATCGGATCAATAATGAATAGTTTCGAAACCAAAAATCCTCAAGTTGAATAATCTCGATTTTGAACACTCTAAATATATCTCTGTAATCATTCCCGCCTGATCCAAAGTGTGATGTATTGATGAAATCATTACCGGTTCAACCGGAAAGTGCCCCATCTTGAAAATATTCTTATTGAAGAGGACTTGATCGATAACACCTGTATACAAATTTCCAGATCAATATCATTTTTAGAACTCCAAATACGTCAAATGTGCGTTTTAGAAGAAACAGCCTGTATGTCTAATTTCCATTTACTGGACAGAAAAACATCAACATTGTATGATCAAAAATAATTGAAAATTGCATCATTCATATGAATCGCACTTTCATATTCAAAATGCCAATTTAAATGAATACAGTGTAGTATAAGACGAATTAATCCATATTCAAAAATAGTGCACCATTTTGCAAAATTCGATTTCAATTCAAAAAGCATATTATGCGTATTTTTTTAATGAAAAATTCAGCTAAGTTGTAATATGTAACTATTACCTAATGCATAATGAACATACATAGTGATGTGAATGTTGGAATGAGGTCTTTAAAAATGGAGTGATGTAAAATGTAGAAATTAATTGTAAATAGCGTGTGGTAATAGTATTATTACATAGCAAGAGTTGTAAAACGCATATTATGCACGAAGCGGAGACAGTTAAACAGGATGCCGAGTAACTCCACAAGTGCGTAATTGCTTTACAACTCGACTTTTTCTACGACTACACGGCTACACATCCTTCAGGATAGTACAGAAATTGTTGCAAGACACAAATATCGAATACGACTCTTGTCACCTGAAGCTATAACTGCATGATAAGGTACAAATTACAATTATTGTGGTATTTTTTCATTGGCATGATAAGGTACAAATTACAATTATTGTGGTATTTTTTCATTGGCAAATTGCATAACCGAACCATTTTCCTCAATTTGAACTAAAATGAAGCCGTTTTTCATATTCTAACAACTTTATCAATAACAAAAAACACATACGTTAAACATATAAAATTATTATAATGGTTACTTATAGTTACTGTGCAGTTTTTGAAAGTAACAGAATATTTTTGTTCTTTCCAGAATTTCTGGTGGTGTAGAAATATTCTCATGTTCATTACTTGACATTCTTCAACTGAAATTGAGAAATATCAACAGAAAATGATAATTTTCAAAAAATATTACATGACTGCTTTCGTTTTCGATTGATAACTCGATTTATACCGACCTTTAGATACTGACATTAACTGTCAACCAAACATAGTAATCTATAAACATACCAGTAAAAACCGTGTGATCGCTTACTGACATTGTTTTGTATACAATATTTATCACTTACTATAGTAGTCGTAGGAAAAGTTACTTTTCTACTACTGCTATGAAAAGTAGCGCATTTCTCATAGCTTACTTAGCTTCAGAACCCTGTATTGCTCATACTGTGGGAAATATTTTTTTTCACGGCACTTTGCCAACACCACATACATTTCCATTAAGAATTAACAAAAATCGACCAAAACTGAATTGGCTGCTGTTCAGCGTTGAATAGTTGTCACAACTGTCAGAAGAAGTTTTTTGAATTCTTTAGGGTAGTTCTCATTAGTGCTTTTGATAGAAATAGCAGTTTCCATCAAATATTGTTCCAACAATTCATAATAATAATATGATGTATATGTATACCGAGATGTGACGATTTTGAAAAATACACCGCCAGAGACAGAGATAATGGAAAAAGCTGCGAAAGTTGGATTTGTTTACGGAAATCTCAAGAAAAAAATATGAATTGGTATATACGAGAAATGTATGGAATCTAAAAAAAATACAGAAATAAAATATTTCTGGGAAAGTGTACTTTTTTTAAATACTTTGAGGAACTAGGCAAGGCGTCTACTCTTTGGTCACAATATTCAATGTGGCATAGTGCAACATTATAAAATGAATAACAATATCTACATTACTTTGAATTCTTTGAATAAGTGCAGTTGTAGAAAAAGTATAGTGTGCAACATGTGGGGAAAAGTCCTTTTCTCACTCGTGTGTTTGCATCACTAGTCCTTCAGGCTCGTGCCACAAACTTTCACACTCGTGAGAAAAGTTGAACTTTTCCCGCTTGTTGCACAATACACTATCACCACACTAGTGCGTAAAAGTAATACTTTTCGCACTCAAAAGCAGTGCGAAAAAGTGCGCTTTACCGCACGCAAATACCAAAAAACCCGTTTTCAAAAAACTCACCGAAATATGGCAGACTGGAGAGCAGCCCGTTCTTCTTGATGTCCACCTTCAACACGTCCTTCATGTAGGTGGGCAGCTGGTTGACCACCATAAAGTATCCGAACACGGAGCACGCGTGCGTCAAAATGATCGCCCATACGGGCATGCTGGTCAAAATGTCCAGCCACGGCACCGACGTGGGCTTGACTCCTTTGCCCTCGCCCTCGGCGATCTTCCCCTCGATCTCCATGCGCTCCTCCAGAGTGATGCGCGGATGTTGGGCAGGGGAGTCGTAGATGAGGAAGAACCATAGCAGCGACCACACGAGGCCGATGCCGCCTGTAACATCAATTTCGTTTGAGGCGTGTTTTATGCATTCATTAAGTTCAATCAATTCGAATCAATCTATGCAATCTTCAATTTATTTATTTTATTCATTCATCATTTTCATTTTAATTAATTTGAGTAATTTACTTCAATCGATTTATTTAATTTATTTAATTTATTCAATTCATTCAATTTATTCAATTTATTCAATTTATTCAATTTATTCAATTTATTCAATTTATTCAATTTATTCAATTTATTCAATTTATTCAATTTATTCAATTTATTCAATTTATTCAATTTATTCAATTTATTCAATTTATTCAATTTATTCAATTTATTCAATTTATTCAATCTATTCAATCTATTCAATTTATTCAATTTATTCAATTCATTCGATTTATTCAATTTATTCAACTTATTCAACTTATTCAATTTATTCAACTTATTCAACTTATTCAATTTATTCAAATTATTCAAATTATTCAATTTATAAAATTTATTCAATTTATTCAATTTATTCGATTTATTCGATTTATTCGATTTATTCGATTTATTCAAGTTATTCAATTCATTCAATTTATTCAATGTATTCAATGTATTCAATGTATTCAATGTATTCAATGTATTCAATTTATTCAATTTATTCAATTTATTCAATTTATTCAATTTATTCAATTTATTCAATTTATTCAATTTATTCAATTTATTCAATTTATTCAATTTATTCAATTTATTCAATTTATTCAATTTATTCAATTTATTCAATTTATTCAATTTATTCAATTTATTCAATTTATTCAATTTATTCAATTTATTCAATTTATTCAATTTATTCAATTTATTCAATTTATTCAATTTATTCAATTTATTCAATTTATTCAATTTATTCAATTTATTCAATTTATTCAATTTATTCAATTTATTCAATTTATTCAAATTATTCAATTTATTCAAATTATTCAATTTATTCAAATTATTCAATTTATTCAATTTATTCAATTTATTCAATTTATTCAATTTATTCAATTTATTCAATTTATTCAATTTATTCAATTGATTCAATTTATTCAATTTATTCAATTTATTCAATTTATTCAATTTATCCAATTTATCCAATTTATTCAATTTATTCAATTCATTCAATTTATTAAATCTATTTAATTTATCTAATTCATTCAAATCATTTACTTTATTCAATTTATTCGCAATATTTGATTATAGTACATTCAATTTTCTCATTTCATTCATTTTAATCAATTTTATATGTTCCATTCGTTTCCTTCATTTTTATTCGTTTTCGTTTGGTTGTTTTACCTCGTTTTTATCAGTTTTTATTCGTTTCTATTCGTTTGTATCCGTTATTATCCGTTCTCATCAGTTTTTATCAATTTTTATCTGCAAGAATTATTCATTTTATTGATTTTGATCGACTCCACTTTTAATGATATACAGATCAGTCAATACACATACGAATTGCGAACGTGGGTAATTAATTGATTGGCATAGTATTGGAAAACTACTTTCTGAATTGTAATCCAATTTTCCTTTCAAATTGATAGAATATACAGTTGGCACCTGATACGGACGTATAAAGAACAAACACTAATATACAGGGTGTCCGCTAAAAGGAGGTCAATCCATTAACAATATATTCCTTGAACAAAAACAATAAGAGTTATATACTAAAAACCATTTCTCATTTTAGCCCTTCATATTCGATATACAGGGTGTCATAGTTGGAAATTGAATTAAACGTGAATTTCTATCAATTTTTTTTTGTAAAATTTTACAAAATTGTACAAAAACACTCGACTCGGGAGCGATAAAAACTGTCGAATTGAACCAAGATCCACGCGAAAAAATATAGACCATACTAATGTCCAAATAATAAAAAAACAATTTGTACTGGATGACAAAACTATTCAATTCTACACTAAATGCAATCAATATCAATAATATAAATAGGGTAGTAACGAAGCATTCCCTGATAATTCCGGTATTATTTAGGAAAAATGGGAACAAACTATTTTATAATATACACTGCTCAACAATAGACATTAGAAGATACACTGCTCAACAATAGACATTAGAAGATACACTGCTCAAACATAATAATGGCACTAATTCTCTTTCTCACCTGTAAAATAGAAAACGCTCGCCCACCCCAGCGTCCCTATGAGGTACCCGCACACGGGCAGCGTGAGCGCCGCCCCCAAGCTGCTCGCCATCATGTTGGCGATGAAATTGGACCGCTCCATCGGCGGTATCCACTTGGCGGCCATGGGCGGGATGGCGGGCCACGTGGCGCCCAGACAGAAGCCGAGCGCCGCGCGCATCACCAGCACCACGTAGTAGTCGAGGTGGCAGGCGGCGGGGGTGAGGACGGTGAGCAGGCTGGCCAATAGCATGCCGCCGCCGAAGATCTTGCGCGCGCCGACTATCTCAGCCATCCGGCCGCCTGAGGCAGAGAGAGAGAACGTGTTAGTGACTTCGCATGGTATAGGGTCTGTGCAGGGCCATCTTAACCACAATAAGACACGTGCCTTGGGGCCCCGGCCCGTTACCACCGATCGGTGGTAACGCCCGGCCTCAGGTAGGCCCTGCACTAGTCTCAAATTGTTGCTTTTTGGGTGCTGTCGTTACCACCGATAAAACAAGGCCAGCAGACTCTGACGTAAACAGCTCGTGACGTCGCATACTCAGGCCATCTCCCAAGGCATTCGCGTCGATCGATCGTAAATCGCGTGTGCTGGAATTCTGTTGTTGTTTATTCATCAAAATAATTGGCGGAGAAATTACTGTTTTGTGAAATATTTCGTGTTGTGATAGGCGAAATAACAATGCCTTAGTGTTGTGTTCCCTTTTGTCGGGGGAATTATGTGGGTGGTCCAAAAGTTCATGCTTTTAGTTTCCCGTTGGACAAGGAACTATCGAAAAAGTGGGTACATGCAATTCACCGCAAGGATTTTACGACTCCATCTAATCTAAGTACAGTATGTGAATTACATTTTACTAAAGATGATATTATTACTTCATCTACTGCAACCGATTCAAAAACTGGCGAAACTGTAACAATAGATTTGAAAATTCCTAGGCTCAAACGAGATGTTATTCCCACTCAATTTCCCAACTGTCCATCTTATTTATCGAAAGATGTAAAATTACGCACAAGTCGTGATGCACAAGCACTTACCAAAAGTAAAACTGAATTCGAAAATTACCAAAAATCATTTTGCTACACAGAATTTCAAGAATTTCTAGTTGTATTAGAGTCTTTTCAGTTGCCCGAAAAGTGGTTCAAAATTATCGATTTGCAAAAAGTCACATTATTCAAATTGTCTTATTCTCCAGGGCCCGTAATTACATATTCGGTTGTGATTGATTTTGTTTTGAATGTGGAATCATTTTTGTATGACCTAGCGATACAAACATCTCTAAAAGCCAATCTGAAAACACCTTTTATCTCTAATAATATCAATCAAATCAAGGAATTACTAATTGAAATAGATAAAAACGAGATACATAATTCGGGAAAATGTCTTGATAATCAGAAAAAGAGGGTTTTGAAACATATTTCGAATGCATTGGACTCTTTGGTTTCTGACTCAATACATTCTCAAATTTCTTTCTGATAACGGTCATTTGCCTCATGGCAATGAATGCAGAATTCATTCCAATGATCAAATTGCAACTATTATATTAACATGTACTACAAACACTCTACTTAAAAATTACTGTTTCAAGTCTAACGTCCAATTGGGTAAAAAATCCAACAACAGGAAATTGAAAACACTCACGGGCTAATTTTTCAGGTAATAGGAATTCTCCAAGATAAATATAGGTAATTAGGTATAACAAACGGCATGTCTATCAAACTAAAATACATTTTCCCCAATTTTCTTTCGATCAATCTCATGATAAGTTTATGTTCTGCGGGCCCTGTATAAGTAGGTGTGAAGTTTACCTCTAATGAGATTGAATCACTACAATTTTTGCCAATATATTTAATTCGAATGGGTTGCTGTAGGTGGGTATTTTTGTTTTATTCTGGTTTTTGCTTTGAAACTTCGTTTTTCCATAATAAAATCGAATGGGATGCGAAGAAGGGCTCAGTTGACGGCTGGCATCCTCTTTCAACCGGAAGCCCTTCAAAAAAAAGGCAAAATCGGCTCAATAATGATCTAAAACTAAAATCGAAATACGCGGTCGCCTTATAGCGCTATAAGCGCTTGTCGTTTCCAGCCGCTGGTTTGGCCTGACTAAGTGACGTCACCCACGGAGCATGCAGGCCTTGTTTTATCGGTGGTAACGACCCAAGGCACTCATCGAGCTACTAAAAATTTCATCTAGCCATTTAGCCATTTTTTCTAGCGATTTTTCACTCTGAATTTCTATAAAAATATTTTCATAATATTCCCACAGCTGAATATTTTTCATTTTTGCGTCATTTCAATTTCAGCTTTTTGCGTCATTTCAATTGAAGAATTTTGCTTCACCAATCAGAATACGAAACGTGAAAAGCAAAACGTAAAAAGTTTGTTTGTGAATGCCGCGCTTAAGGAAAGGAGGAAGGAAAGACAGAACAGAAAACCGATGAAAAAACGCATCTTAAGCAGATTCTTATCAAGTTTTTGGGTACTACCTGGTAGTTCGGTGAGGACGTATCCCCAGAAGAAGCTGCCGATGAGTTCGTTCTTTTGCGAGATGGTCCAATCGAATCGAGTTTCTTCCAGTCTCGAGACTGTCGTCTCGTTCGCATTCACGTTCGTCAGGTTGGCAGGAGCATTGATCATATCGACTATCGCTATGGTGAAGTTGACTCGCAGCATGTAGTTGAACATGAAGCCCAGTATGACCATTATATTCAGTGTTTGCCGGCATGTTAAATAAGCTGAAACAAAAACTCACTAAATCTCACACAGCACAATATGTACGTACATTTCTAAATGGACATTCAATGGTACTTTGTTTAATTTGTATCATCCAATGTATATCCCAGAAAACACAAACATCCCTGGGATGTCACATTCATGTCTCACTTGGTAAAAATGCGAATTATAAGAAAACATCATTGATGGGATTGTATCGAAGACTTGAAGTGTTTCGCTAACTATGTTGTAATGATTGTGATGAAACATATATCGGCCAAACCAGGCGTCCTATAAAAACAAGGTTCAAAGAACACTTAGCACATTTGAAATATGGTAGGTTAGATAAATCGTGTGTAGTCGAACACATGTTCAATCACAATCATAACACACATATTAATAACCTCAAAAATTAGTTTAGCATCAAGTTAATAATGTTAGAAAAATGGATGCCTATAGAAGCTTAGAGATATTTAGGAATAGTAATAGAGTAATGAATAAGGACAATGGATAGTTTAGTAATATAACATATAACATGTGAACTCAACCATGAATAACATTATCTTGGCGGTTATTGTCTATTCACGATAGGGTGGACATATACAAGGGCGTCGCCAGCGGAAAAAATAGGGGGGGGGCACCATAAAAAAACTGAAGAGAAAAATCAAATAGAAAAGTTTAATGAGAAAATCAAAAAACAGAAAAAAATCTATACAGTAAATCAGTTGAAAAATAATCTTCTAGGGTTCTTTGGGAATTCGTCACTTTTTGACGAAATCGTTCAAGTTTTTGAAAATATGTTGCCTGTGTATACTCATCATTGCGAGGCCATTGAGTCGAGCATCATACATGATGCTCCTCAACCAGGTTGATTCTCCTAAGGCTACTAAATGACCTTTCAACTGTACAAATCTTACAAGGTAAAGGCAACAAGGATCTTCAGAGCCTTCTCAACTTCAGGAGAAAAATATACTTTCGGAAGTTCTTTGCTCAAAGTGAGCGTTATCATAAGTAATATCACGATATTCTTAATATTCGAGATAATTCTGTCGCCTCATTGTTCACGAAATTGTGTTGCTGAGCAATACCACGAGTCAGGACGAAAGGTAGGGCTGTACGGCAACACAATAGATTTGACAAGGAAATGAATAATTATGAGAATATATTCAGAACAGAGTGGAGACTATTTCACGTTCACGAAGCAGAGAAGCATTTATTTTGAATGAATGATTCATTCTGACAATAGTACAGTCATTATTTTTTGCCAAATTGACAGACTTCGCTTCGCTACCCATGGTTACATCGTTGAAAACATCTAGTTTTCGCGATAAGCACACGTTTTCTATGGCTTGTGATTGGTCAGAAAATGTGATGAATGAAATAGTCGTTTCAATGATAGCATCAGGGTGACTGGTGAGCGTTAAACGTAGAAGGGGGGCAGCTGCCCCACCCTGCCCCTCTCTGGCGACGCCCTTGGACATATATACTTATAGTATATAAGTAGCCCACTAGGATAGAGCATTTAGTTTTAATCTTCTCCCGAAGATGCTAACATAGTTAGCAAAACACGTGTCGAGGTGTAAAAAAATCGGTTTGGTTAGTGGTGAAACAATATGCAGTGTAATGAATTGTTATATCCAGGCAGAAGGCAACCAATAAATCACAAAACTTTCTCAAATCTATTTCATTGAAACCGGATAATTTCACTGTAAAAATCGAGGTGGTCGTCCACAACGAATCACACCTAATCAAGAAGATGAAATTTTGGTTGGAATAGATGAAAATCCTAGAGTAAGTTCACGTCATTTGTCAGCAGCAACAGGAGTTAGTCAGTTGTCTATTATTAGACTTCTAAAAACTCCTGTTCAAAATTTGCTTTCAAGAGATCTCCCCCGTAGGTTACAGTTCTGTCAACGTATTCTCAACAAGCACAATGATGACCGTGCTTTCATTAAGAATATTATGTTCACCGATGAAGCGACTATTACCAGACGAGGGGTATTGGTGTGGCATTATAGACGACCAAGTACTAGGGCCATATATTCTGCCTCCAAATTTGAATGGAGATTCTTTTGGATAATCAGTCACTAGCTGATGTAAGAAGGAAAATGTTGTTTATGCAGAATGGAGCTCCACCTCATTTTCCATTAGTTGTTAGAAATCATCTAAATGTCATATTTCCCCAACCCGCTTGATTTTTATGTTTGGGGACATATTATGAAGTCCTTAGTTTATGCCGATGAAATCAACTCAAGAGACGAACTCTGGAGAAGAATACAAAATGCGGCTAACTTTATAAGGGGACAGAATAATATTTTTTTTCAAGTCCGGAAGTCCTTTATCAAAAGAATTAGAAAAGGCATAGCAGTCGGAGGAGGCCACGTAGAACATTTGATTTGAGTTTGCTCTCTCTATGTTGTTCTCAATTGTGCTTTATCGTTGAAATAGAAGCCTTATACGTCACAAGTTTTTTTATTGTTCGTTACTCTGATCTGTTCAATTGCGTTTCTCTCGAAAACGGATGAATATATCATGTTCAAACAAGAGTACCAATATTACGTAGAAATGATGTTCATGTCATATTTTTCAATCGAAAACGCAAAAAAAATTTGTCGAAAAAAGTTACGTGGCGCCCCCTGTAATTCAATGTAGAACAATGCATAAAATATTATTCCCTGTATGAAATAATGCCCCTGTGCCAATTTTGATAACAATTGAAGAATATACAGTGAAATTATTAGCAAAAAACGAAGAAAAAAAATCAACTTTAACGACCTGTTTCTTTTTCCACAGCAATATTTTATCCAGGCGAATTTGGTCCTATCGCCATATTTTAGTCCAAACTATCCACCCTTAGCCTATGTCCCAATAGTTATCGCTCACCCTGTATATCATTTTGAAGGCAAAAAAATAAGGAGTTCAATGAGCTTCTATTTAAGAAACCATATGTTTGAGTCGTATCTACAAAACCATACACCGAAAAAAAAATTGAGTGCGCCACTGGATTATGCGTAAAATCATTTATGGGAAATGATTTCAATTTGACATTTCCGCTGAGAAACTTCGAAGATAAAGAGGGGATCCAAAGAGGATACATTTTCAAAATCATTCTGTATCTCATAAACGGAAACAGTTATGCAAAATCTGATAAGGCCATCTCGAGTTTCACAAAAAAGTGGCAAAGGACCGCAAAAACCGCAAGGTTCTATCTCCAAAGATAACTGAGATATCACTCAAAAGCATCGAAAACTAGACACCCTGTACAGTGTAGATGGATGGTTGGACGATAAATGGACGTCAAACTTATCAAAAGCTATCATATATTGTCGATCATTTATGATGCTTGATAAGATCATTGTTGATGGCTTTCTCCATCACTTTGGATGTCTAGACAGTTCAATTACCAATAGGATTTCAAAGTATCATTTACTTTTTTATAAAATTGAAATACGAGTACGAGTAAGATAAGGTAGGTAGGTTTGTAATTTATATTGAAGTTTTGATGCAGCTTTATCATAATGCAAATTGCTGAGGCAAAAATAACGAGTTCGGAGTTTGCATCAAACTGGGCAGCAAAAACACATGTAGATAAGTATACATTGCTCTCGCTCATCAGTGCGTTGAAATTATTCGACATTAAGTGGGGAATTAAAAAAAAGATCAACACCTACAACAAAATTTCCCTTAGAAAACAAACAAATCCATTGTATTGTATATGTAGTATGAATTCTTCCATGAGAATAAAAATCCAATTCGGATCTCAATAATTTTATTACATAACTGTAACTATCGTATAATATACATAACAACCGATGCTCCTTTTATCTTCCAGTTCTCATGTCATAATATACATCTAGAAATCCCTATTTTATACAGGATGTGAAAAACATGTAACACCTTCCCTCCTTAAAAAGAAATCCACAATAACAACTCAAAGTTGAAAATCATTTCTTAATTTAACTGGCAATCTGATATTCCTCTGCGATCTCCGGCGTGTGGTGGTGACATTGGAATTGATTTTTGAATTTTCCATAGGCTCTGATGTTTCTTCAGGATCATCTACAGGATATGGTATATGGTAATCGAACTCAGAATCAGAATCATTAGATAAACATGTAGTTTTTGTTTCTATTGATCGCAACTAGTTAATATGCCTCTTCCATGATCTACAATCATCGAGTTTAATCTGATAATGTAATTTTCCAAGCTTTCTCTCTACTTTTCCAAATTCCCACTTATTTTCTCCAATATAATTTCTACACTCTACTCTTTCTCCCTCTTTTAGAAATCGTATTTCTTTTCCCTTATTCACATCTATACCTATATACTCATTTTGATCTGGAATTATGAAATCTAATCGTTGCCTGATTCTTCTGTTGAACACAAGTCCTGAATACTATGTGGAATATTTCAATATTTTATTGTATTGTATTGTATCGTATCGTATGGTATCGTATGGTATCGTATGGTATGGTATGGTATGGTATGGTATGGTATGGTATGGTATGGTATGGTATGGTATGGTATGGTATGGTATGGTATGGTATGGTATGGTATGGTATGGTATGGTATTGTATTGTATTGTATTGTATTGTATTGTATTGTATTGTATTGTATTGTATTGTATTGTATTGTATTGTATTGTATTGTATTGTATTTGTTCTGTTCTATAATGAAGTTACTATAATTCGAGAAAAAGTTTGAACACAATTCGGCAACGTAGCATTTTTACACACCTGAGAAAAATCAGAAGTTAGCAGAGAGTACATAAGTAGTACCTACACATCGGTGTGTATAGTTCGGTCGATATAATGAACTTTTCCAAAAACTAAACGACAGATTGCTGGGTTTCGGCCAGCTGGTCCTTTTCGAGCAAATTGATAGTGTAATCACTCAAATTTGTAATCCTGTTTTCCCTTCCCTCCCAAAAACCCTGTTTTTCCGAGTGAAAGAAGAACCGGACCATCAGAGAGTCAACTACCAAAAAACCGGTGAGTACAAAAATTGATGTTACGAAGGAACA